AAATATTTAAAAGAGTAAACCAAATTTAAAATTTTGCGAGCCAATTACAAACAGAAAGATGGACAGTTTGAATAAAGATCTAACACATTTTTTATTCTATATATAATATATCCTCTGTCTATATAGGTAGGTAACTCCGGGCTGTTCCAATTGTGTCCATATGATTGGCTGGACACTTCACAATCTGATTATTATGGTCCGTGCAATGGACTTAAAGTGGTTGAAATTGGTTGACACAGTACAGTGATTGCATGAGTTATCAATTTCTCTTAACAATCACACAGCCATAGAGATCCCATTTATTTCATATGGAGAATTCTGTAAAAAATGTAAATATATTCACGAATATAATCCCCAATAGGTAAAAAGGGTATTTGTTGATTTATGCCATAATGCTAAAAGTAAAAATAGACTTATTAATATTATAAATGTGAAAGTGAATTTGTTTATTTATTACTTCTTGGGGCCTTAACAGCACAACTAATCATTATGTTTGGTAAATATACGGTACTATATGGGATGGTGATGGGGCTTTTTGCGTGATAGAATCTGAAACGAGGATATCCGCAAAAGAACCAAAATAACTGACATAGCCCGAAGGATAAGCAAGCTGAAGTGGCAATGGGCTGATTACATAGCTCGAAGAACTGACAACCGATAGGAAAGAAAGGTTTTTGAGTAGCGACCGCGTACGGATAAACGCAGTGTAGGACGACCCCACTAGATGGAGTGACGATCTGAAACGCATTACAGGGAGTCAGTGGATGCAGGTGGCTCAGGGCCATTATTTGTGGCAGTCTATGAGGGAGGCTTATGTCCAGCAGTGGACGGATAATGGCTGAAATGATGATGATGATATGGGAAGGAGAAGGACATAGGCTACTTTTTCACCCCAATCAGTAAACATATCCCAATATATCCGCGGATAAAAGATAGTATCTGTATATTTTTTATAAGAACTATATTTTTTAATAGTAATTTATAATTCATATAATAACACACTAATGCCTACCCAGCCGTTTCTTTACTCCCAATAAGAGAAAGATGTAGTCTGCTGTTACCTACTATGTAGTATACTATGTAGTATAACTTTTTATTTCGAATTTTCCTTCTCTTACATTGGTGCATTGCGCTTTGTTTCCTTAATCACCATCGACACAACTATGTTTATTTTTTGTTACATACTAGCGTATCCCGCGACTTCGTCTGCGTGAATCAGTAAGTGCTTAAAGTACTCCTGTGTGCTCAGTGAAGATATAATCTTCCCTTGTACCAGATTTCATTCAAATCATCCAAAAGTGTTTGCCTGAAAGAATGATAAAAATCCATCTTTATAAATTTTCGTATTTATTATATTATTATACTAATCATTATCATATCAGCCCTTAACCGTCCACTGCTGAATATAAGCCTCCCCTTGAGGCATTTTGCCAATAGTTGCCACACTTGGCAGGCGGATTGGCAACTGCAGTCAGGGTTTCGGGATATTTTAATAGGGGCGCTGCTGCCCATCCCTCGCCGTCCCTTAGTCGTCATTTGCGACACCGACTGGAAAGGAAGGGGTGGCATATTCTATGCTGGGATCACACGGCCATTTGTATACTACTTAATACTATTATTTAATTAATGTGATATTTATTATTATTATTATAAATGTGGAAATGAGTACGTTTGTTTTTCCTTAGCGCCTTAACCAGTCATTATATAATTTAGTCTACAAGCACTATATGGGACGAAATAAGACATAGGTTACTTTTTATCCCGGTCAGTGAACATATTCCGTTCATGTAGACAAAGTTACGGTTAAAAGCTACTAATAATACAAAAAGTGAAAGTTTTTAAAGATTTTTATGTTTGGATATTTTTTTTTTACTTAAACACGTTTAAACGGTTGAATAAGTCATATCCTAACTGAAAACATAAGAAACACACATACTAATACACGCGGGAAATAGTTACAAATAATCTATTGTTCTCAATATTGTTACACATACTTATTATGTAATAATAACTCATATAACACACGGGTTATAATAAATATCTTGTGAATCGTGACTCGAAGTGACTAATGTATTATAAAAATACTAAAACATTTTTAATTATATATTTTAAGACCACATTGATATATAGTGTTCCTAGTCTACTAATTTAATTAACAGTTACGTAAAATTCATCTAATCAACATACATATGTTACTAATTTATGCTTATGCAATACGTAAATACGTACGGCGCCGCGTGATTAGAAAAGCTGACCCCCCAGTAACGGGAAAATGCGAGGTCAAAGATGAAGAAACTTGTGTTTTTTCGAGATTTTTCAACGTTCGTTCTCTGTTCGAATATGCGGCAAATGAAAAGACGTATTCGTCTACATTTGAATAACAGTTCTTTCTGGAGATTATTATTTTTAGATCCCGTCTTAACATGTCTAAGAATAGAAGCGCACGACAAGCAGAAACAAGTCTCTCTTTCGTCGACAACCAAATGTCGTGATTAATTATACTAATGTATCTATAAACTCGCTCATTACGTATCCAACGAAGCGCAGAACATGTGTCGTGTTGGTAATAATGCACTTTTCATTATCATCTCGGGACTTTTGCTTTTTATTGCATTTATTTTTAATTAAATCTAATCTCCTATGGATTTTACCTTATGTCCGTCTAACTTACGTGGTTGGGGGGAGAAGGGATTGTTAGTAATGAAGATTTGCAATCTTATTGCTAGCAATATACCCTATTAGGACGACCTCCACGCAGTCCCCCCTGGAAACCATCGTAATTGTTTTATTGTTGAATTGGTCACGATGGGCCAATTGATCTGCTTCATCATCGTCTGGCATCCCTCACTGGTGCCCCACCAGGGTATACCGATAGCGCAGACTGAGAAACCATTCCATTATCATCCATAAAAAAAACCTAGGTGGTTTTGGTGGTGTGTTTGTATTATAATAACTTTTTTTTATACAACTTAGAATGGTAAACAAGCTGAGGGCCCACCTGTACAACCGACACCTGACACAACATATATACTGTTTCGCTCATGATACCCCCCCCCCCCCCCATGCGTTGCCATTCCTGAGGACTTAGGTGTTATTCCTCTGTACCCTGTAAATTCACTTCCATATCCCACCTTTGAAACCGAAACACAGCCATGTAAACACAACTGCTTTACAGTACAAACACGAATGGGACAATGGTACCCAAGCAAACGACTTTTGTACAAAGTCTTCCTCTGGCACAAAGTATAAAGTAGTAGGCACAAAGAATAAAAGAATATTTATTTTAACATAAATGTTATATAGGTTACCTACAACGAATTATATTAAATTATAAAGCGAAAAATTGTTGCAGCCAGACGATTTGGTGATACACGCATCTGTGTAAACATTTTACACAGATGCGATATAAAATAAATTATATAAATCTATATGTATTTAATCGCTATTAAAATGGAACACGTATAGTAATTAAACCTATCTGAAATAACTATTTGCTCTACAAACCGCAGATGTTACTTTCCCGGAATATTCTTACGATTCACCCAATTCAATTTAACGCTAGACTAATCTAAATAGAGAGTTTACGCGAATCATACATAATATAATGTGATTCATTTCGTAAACATTTCACGTTGACGGCGTAATATTAGTAACTAGTATACATAGGTTCTTATGGCAGACGAGATTGTTGTTAACGAAGACGGTACCCCATTGATAACATTATACATGATTATACACTAACTGCGCTTGCCAACCCCCGTGCCATGGGGGAAAGGGATTGTTAGTAATGGAGACTGAGAATCCCCTTGCTAGCAATATACCCAACTAGGTCGACCTCCTCACGGTTCCCCCTGGAAACTATCATAGTTAATTCCTGATGAATTCATCGTGATGGGCTAACTGGCCTGTTTTCATTCTCATCTATCACCCTTCACTGGTCCTCCACAAACGTGGTATACGTTAGCGCAAACGGGGTTACCATACCATTTTCACCCATCATTTCTGGTGAATTTGTCACAAAGAGCCAACAGAGCTGACCTAGTCATTATTCCTTACTAGCATCCTGCCTGCGTATATCTACTCATAGCGTATGTGCGGTTATTAGTTTAGTTATCATCCTTACCATATCATATAATACCAACTGTTAACTGTCTACTGCTAAACATAACTTGGAGGGGTTTTGCCAATAGTTGCTACGCTTGGCAGTCGAATTGGCAACCGCAGTTAGGCTTTGGTGATGTTTAAAGTGGGACAGTGGAAAAAAATATTGTAATGCCTCATAACTATCGTCATATTTCACATACACGTACTATTGGGAATGGAAAATGAAGTTGATTAGGCGAATAGAATCGCAAATAAAAGCTGATACTAAATATGAGAGACACCACCCATATTAATAAGCGGTCTGCCGTTCCACAATCGCTCGTGACTACACAGCATTCCGTTGCGACGCAATCGAGCGCGGAAGGTCGCTCAAATCCGTTCCGTGGCCGTATACCTGTTGCTAATCGTGGTTATAGTTTGACAGAAACAAAATTATTACAGAAATATTTAACGACCTCTTTGCGCAATTGATCGGATTCTTGCTCGGGCTAATTCTCTTTGGTGGGAAGATTGTTTATGAATGAAAACGTAATGGTAACTCCGCCTGTGTTATTGTTTTAGATACGCTGGCAGGATACCAGTGAGTGATGATAGATAAAGTCAGTTCAGAGAGGCCGCGTTGACGTTGACTTGACAGGGTATTAAGTGTTGTGTATATTTCGAAATCGACCTGATTATGACAGATCCCTATTCCTCAAAACTGACCAATAATTTTGATGATTTTCAGCCAACTTAAAAGTGAAATATATTTTTGTTTATAATAAATAGATTATTTTTAAAATGAAAGGGCTTACTCAATTTTTAGAAATAGGCTCATATTAATTTTGATTAGTTCATTAGTTAACTAAATTTTTTTTATCCTAAGTTGTATTGACCTCAAACATTTTTATTTTCAGGCCAGCCTTCGGCAATTAGACCTGTCGCTGCTATCAGAACTGTGGACTCTCAGCGAAGCCATGGCGTCGTGGAGGCGACAGCTGGAAAGAGGACCTCGCCTCCGGCCGGCACCGCCGCCTCCACCACCACCGCACTATCTCAGAACTTAAGACTCCTTACCAATAAATTAATTTTGAAACACAATCCGCCTTGATGTTTATTTTAATGATCACAAACAGTTACAAGTCTAGTAGCCTACGTAGACGAAGGACATTTTCTTCCTATAGATTTATGTCGTCCACCCAGTAGCGTGATTTTTAGTCCTGTCATAAGAAAATCCGTAAATTACAAGTACACGATTTATATGTAGGGAGAGTTATGTGCAGACAAAAAATCCTTCGTCTACGCAGGCCTTAAGTGTGATTCGCCACGCAATAAACTTGAACGTGAAATGAGAATCGTTCTTGCTAAATTACCTCAAGTGTTTTTAATTAATGTGTATTTGCGAAAATAAATATACAATCGATTTTACAGAGAAATATCAAAGTTTTCACATCCAATATTATCATTGTATGGTGAAACTAACATAAGGGTGTTGCCTGCTAACTTGTTTCCATCAGGCGCTGTAGCAATATCACTATTAGTTGTATTGGTGCTTCGATCATTAACCGACTACATAACGCATCATGAACTAAATCCAAATCTGTTTGTGTTACTACTGCCAAGTAACTAGTTGTATTACTGTTTCGGTCTGAAGGGTGGGATATTGCAGTTAAATTAGGAAGCGAACATATAATACCTCAAAAATTACAATGCATATGGGATACTATGGGCATCTCGGTGTATTCTATAATGTCCACTATGCTGTCACGAGTTGTATTGCTTTCTACCTGGTAGGCCGTCAGCTCGTTTGTGAAATCAAGTTGCATAATGTAAAACTAAATAAAAAAAAAATCATAAATAATAAAGCACAATTTTGTATACAAATGCAGACAACCTAATTCACAATAACCCACTCCACAACAGAAGCTATATAAGCTCGGCCATTTTGATACTTTGACATGACATGAGTGCATGAAAATTGATGATCGAAGGCCATTAACGAATACCCGCCTTTTAAAATACCCCAGGTTGAGCTCCTTTACTACCCTTACCATACTTATTTGATGTATTGTAACCGATAGCAATAATTTGTGAAAAAGATTTGTAAATGTATTCTAAAAGCTGTTACTAGTTCTTTACACACGTTTCTTTAATATATTTATTTGTACTAAATAAAGTACATATTATGTAGATGCATAAATAAAGTACTACTACTTTATAGCGAAAGAAAATTAAGTATGTTACCTGTGCCTGTATCAAAGGAGAAAATGTTGAACATTGTAAATATTATGTAGTAATAATTTTGTAATAAATGAATATAGCATTCAATTTATTATAGTGACGTGTGTAAAAACCTTTACAAATTGATTTATTAATTTAAATGGATGGTTTTATAATTTATCGTTGCATGATACTGAAATGAGAAAGCAAAATACAGGTATGCAATTTTAGATATAAATATTTTAATTTTTCGATATGATACACGTCCATAGTTTAATGCGACTTCTAAAAAGTACATTTTGCTTTCATATTTTATCGTTACGATAAAATTGTCACATAGTATAATGCGTCACAGTAAATTATAAAAGCGTCCGTTATCGTATGTAGGCTTGACAACTTACTTCAATGACTGTTGGGCATTTAATTAGCTCAGCAAATAAATAAAAGAGATCTTACGAGTACTTCAAACATTACAGTTCCATCTAACATTAATAACAAAGTGTTACGTAGTTGTATGTATATCGTGTGCATTGTAAAAACTTAGTTGTAAGCTTAGGCATTTTCCTAAATAAATATTTAATAACAGTTTAATGAATTTCAATGCTATACAAGCTAAAATCGAAATCATAAGCATCCACGCATAGCAGAACACTAAGAAATGTAGTTTAGTGAAACTGAAATTTACCCCCCAATGAAATATACTAAATCGTTAATTAGACCAAATTTCTGACATTTTTCTACCCATATTTTCTTGGGGCATAACAAAAATAAAAAATCAATATAAAGTAAATTATATAAATTGCAAAAAGTGTAATTAATTTATCCAAAAATAGCCTAGCAATCAGCTATTTATGAATCAATTTTGCATAACATATAAACTATGCGTAGGTATAAAAAATACATACTAGTTAAATAATAACTTCCTATTTTCATGTCATAAAAACTAAAATTGCGTGAGTTCTGAATATTACAAAAATAGATTAACAATAGTATCTGAATTACAAACTTACCACTACCAGAGAGATCGTATAAGTACTTCTTTATTATCACATTAGGGTTTTTTTTATTTTAATGGATGATAATGAAATGGTAGCCCTGCTTATGCTAGCGGTATACACCGACGAGGCGCCAGAGGGGGATCATAGGTAAGAATAAAACAGATCAGTGAGCCCATCGGAAAAAATCAACAATATATCAATCACGATGGTTTCCAAACGGAACCGCGTGGAGGTCGACTTGATATGGTGTATTGCTAGCAATGGGGGTTATTAGGCCCAATTACTAATCAAACTTATTCCCCGCGCTCCCACATTAGGGGTTAAAAAAACTATAGTTAGGTAGGTACCGTAGAAAAAGAATGCCAGGTATTATCCTTTATTAGTAATAAGTACGTTATACTAAGTCTATGGTCATAATAGTAGTAGTGTAGTAGCATTGGCGTAGGTACCTTTTTAATATAATTTATCAGCGAAGTCCCTCTTTAAAGATGGCCATTCAAAACATCTTTACTACATCTATAGTACTCGTAGACATGTTCAGTTACTATTCTTAGTCTATGCCGCCACCGTCATGTGTCATCACTATCAAATGTTGCTGAAGTAGATAGAGCAAATCTTAATTGTCAGATGTCAGGCCTGTGACTGTCAATTGTTACTTTTAGTTGACATACTCATAAATATTTAAGATAGATAACAAAAATAATAATTAAAAATAATAGAAAAAAAGCATACAAATAGACCGCTTCTGATAATAATATATTTTGAGTAATTAAACCGATGTCAGAAACTTCCCTACAAGCAAGTGCTAAAGAAGAGCAACCGCCATCCAAGATATCTGAATCAGTTAAGGTTAGTAAAGTTTTATTTATTATTCATTGAAGTATTCAACATTATTAGTACTGAACTTAGTAATTAATACAAATTGTTTTGTTACAGAAAATAATATCAATGGAAAAGGAGAATGAAACTAACGCTAGTCGCAAATCACGAATTGATCTCAACGCATTGCCGACTCGTCAATACTTAGACCAAACAGTGGTGCCTATACTTCTTCAAGGATTATCGGCACTAGCTAAAGAGCGGCCCCCGGATCCAATTAACTACTTGGCAGCTTATTTGCTCAAAAATAAAAGTACATTTGAAAATAGTAACAGTGCAACAAATAATAATCCACCACAAAATCCTCAAACATAATTATTTAGTGTAGTTTTTAGTGTAACAATATGTTTTACAAATCAGTACAGACCTATTCTAGTACTTCAGCTCAATAAATTTTAAATTTGCACATTTCATAATTATTATTACATGTATTGTGTTTATGGTGAGTTGGTAAAAATTACTCTTTTCTAATCAATTTGTGTTCTGTAATGCAGATTAACTCTTATTATGATGGCCTTATATAGTTTGTGACTATGTTTAGGTAATAAAAATATATAAAATACACAAAGAGTGTGATTAAAAGCTATGTATTGTTTTACACAAATCTATTTTATTATGAAAATAATAATGGAATAACAGATACACAATGTTCATAGAACTTAGATATAACTTTAGAAAATTATCCATATTCAGATGGATTATTCACTTAGATATCATTTTGATTATTTTTGTGTAAAAGAAGGGCACCAAATTTACAATATAACTGATAAGATGAAATATAGAGTTCTAAATTTCTGATATTTTTTACTATATCATCATAGTCATAGAATACTGACAGATATGTAATATTTGTCAGATCCGTCAATATTCTACAACTATGACGACATACATAGTTACTTACAAAAAGGCCGACAGCATGCCTTTGGTGTTGTGGGTGATCATGGGCGGCGGTAGTCACTTACCACTAGGTGAGCTGCATGCTCGTTTGCCCCCTGTGTTGTAAAAAAAAACTTGAACATGGTTTAATATAATTTGACTTGCATTTTAACATACAAACATGTATTGTGCAAGTTTGAAGTAGAGCAATAAAAACAATATAAATAATTATAATTTAGTAATTTATTTCTGATTCTATGTTGATATATTTTGTCATTATATATGAGTAAATATGTTCCTCATCTAATCTTATATTTTTATTAGGTATAGTTCATACAATTACACAGAGATATGATAAGAAATTAAGATAATGGCTGAGATGATGATAATGATGATAAATAATTTATAATACCCTAAATTTCCGCTCATTCAATATTATGAAATTTGTGATTATCTTATTTTGGATATTATTTATATATTTAGTAAATTTGACTCATTTCTGCACTAAGCCTCTCATTTGGGCCATTGTATGTGTGACTACATGTATATGTGATATATATAAGATCTTTTATATATAATTATATATGTTATGTAGAAGTTTATGTCTACTTTATTCATGAATGCACTGCCTACCTCTTTCTCTGTTTGTCCTATTATTATAGAGAAAATTATCTGGTGTTAGATCTACCAAATGCACATATGCTACTGTCCATTAAAGTTTAAATAAGTCAATATTTTGCAAATTTTAATATCTATGTAAATATATAAATTTTAATATCATTATTTTTATAATCATATTTAATTATATATAGAAAAATTACCCATTTAATACGCAGAACTAAATATTGATTTTTTGCTTTTATTTATTTATTAGAGAAGTACCAGATTATTGAAGACTATAGTGCATGTATACATTAAGTCAGTGAATCCACTCTCTTAATCAAAACTTTTATCTAAAGAGAAACATTTAATTCTTCTAACATTCTTTCAATCGCAAATAGGATTTTTGTTTTTCAGCAAATAAATAATTCATTCAGATTCTGCAAAATACATCCCCTTTGTCCTTGAAAGAGTGTCAATGATCAATATATAAAGTAAGAGAACTTCCTCTCTTACTACATTTAGTAATAGTCATTTTACAGAGCCAACACTAATCCAATGTAAAATTTATCTTTACAATTTGAATGTTCAAAATACTTACCCAATTTGTCACCATAATAATGTAGAAGCTAATTCTTTATATTGTGTGATATTATAATAGACAAATGACAAATGTTTTCTCAGCAGCAAAGAGTACTTGATTATATTTTATTTAATGTGTAGTACATTACATTTTTTTTAACAAACAGTTACATCTGATGGTTACAGTACCATGACATAAATTCAACCCCCATGCATTGCCATTCCTGAGGACTCAGGTATTATTCCTCTGTACCCAGTAAATTCACGCCATATCCCACCCTTTAAATAGAAACACAGCCATGCAAACACAACTGCTTCACGGTTGAAACACGAATGGGACAGAGGTACCCAAGTAATCGACTTTTGTACAGTCTCCCTCTGGTTATTCTTAATGTTATGATGGAATATGCATAAACCTTTCTCTGTATTCCAAAGAGATACAAACAAATTCAATGCAAAATTAATTTTACTTTTAAAATTATATCATTAAAAAAATATTCTTTTTTTTGTAAGTGTTTGGATCATCTTTAAATCGAAATAACTGATTTTGCCATGATTGAGATCTATATTTTTTTTTAAACGAAATCTATTTTTTTTTAAACAAAATCTAGTTGTCTTTATATATCGTTGGCAAATCGTTGCGTTAAAATATATACTAAAATAAATCTGTTAGAATTTATTTAAATTCAGTACAACACTTATTTGAAAACATAACTTCAACAAACAAATTATTTCTATTCCTTCTGCTGAGTCTCTTCCAAAATCTTTGTCTATGAATTAGCCAGGAGTCATTGTCATCGGCACCCTCTTCTTCAGGGACAATGGATGGGGGTTCGAACTGCATGTTGTCAGTCTCGATACTCTCATTAGTTAGGGATGGTAGTGAGTTGTGTACTGGCAATGGTACGGGTTCAGGAGGCAAAAATTCTGCCATATAAGCTGTTATGTTGCGAGCGCGCCAAACAGCTATTTTACCTGTAATCCAGAAATCGAAATTAAATTTTTTTGCGATCAGACAATTCAAGTACAACTCTGTTCTTATGAATGTATACTAAGATTCCTTATATCTCACTATATCGAAGACGGTGAACTAGTAAAGGACGAACTTATTGCTGTCTGTCGTATAAATTATATTTTTAATAGTGTTTACCATCACAGAGAATAATAGATGGATATAATGAAATCGTTTAATTGGCACATTGCAATATGTTCCACTTTGATACCCTTTCGAAGTATCTATCTACCTACCTAATTTATTCATGGCCTCAAAACTACCAATGATACCTAATATTTATTTTTTCTGAAATTTTATAACTTCTAAGTGCCTTCTAGAAAAAGTCAATTTTTACCTAAAGTTTCGTTAATTTCTGTTTCTTCTTCTTCTTCTCCTCTTTCATCTTTCACAGCCTCCTTTTCCTCTTTATCTTCTTCACCTTCACCAAATTCTTCAAATGCCGGATCTTTTGTTAGCAAGTAAAAGCCGTGCTGCATACAATTGGTATCAAACACGAAACAACCAGGACCTTTTGGCTTCCCTTTTAACCATGAACCATGGTATCGCACTCGAGGGTAAATAATCTGCCCTGGACCTTCGATCACACCTTCAACCCACGTTCCCATAAACTTGACTTGATATTCTGCAAAAAAATAAGTTCCAAGACCATGTCTTTTGCCTTTAAACCATGCTCCCTCGTAAATATCACCATTTGGATAGTAGTAGACCCCAAATCCTTGCTTTAAATCATGCCTCCAGTCACCTTCGTATCGCGAACCGTCAGGATATGTCATTGTCCCGACTCCATATTTCATTGCTTGCCGCCATTCGCCTAGAACAAAATGGTAAATTTAACCTAGTTTACTAATACGTCTCTATACAGTATTATCACTGCTAAAGATACAATAACAGGTAACAGCGTTCCTCTTAAAATATCACTAAATGGGGGAAAGGGATTGTTAGTAATGGAGTTTGACAGCCCCATTGCTAGCAATTTGTCTTATCAGGTCGACCTCCACGTGGTTCCCTCAACAGGCCTGCTTCATCCTCTCCTATCATCTTTTACTAGTGCCCTGCCGGTGTATACCGATAGCGCGGGTGGAGTTACCATTCCATTATCACCCATAAAAAAAAAATCTCTAAAGGCCTAACTGCGATTACCAATCTGCCTATCAAGCGTGCCAACTACTGGCAAATCCCCCTTATGGGGGAGGCCTATGTTCAGCAGTGAAGAGTAAACGGTTGATATGATAATGATGATGACTTCTCCCTTCCGACCACTCGAACCCATGACATTCATACTAAAGGAATCGTTATAAACGTTCTCTGTCTACTCCTATCGTTACATAACGTAATGTGTTTTCTCGTACCTTCGTATCGAGCTCCATTTTTAAAGACATAAAGTCCTTTTCCATTTCTCATGCCGCGATTATAACAGCCTTGATAGAAGTCCCCATTTGGTAGTACTGCCCATCCTTCTCCGTGTCGTTCGCCGTCAGCATTCCTACCGCCTACATAAATCTATAGAGCAATTACTAGTATTAGTATTTAATTGCCATTACAAAATATGAAGTAAAATGTTATATACATAGCAATATATATTTATTTTAGTTACAATATCTTGTAACAAATATGTTATCCAAAAAATAATAATTGAAATTGTGAAAATGTTTGCTCTATCGTTATACAGTGCTGGGATACCAATGAATGATGCCAGATGAGAATTAAGCCAGCATTTTGAGCTATAGTTTTCAGAGGGGATCGCGTGGAAGTCGACCTGATAGGATAAATTGTTAACATTTAATCCGTCTCTGTTGACATGACCTCATGACACTTTTAGTTGCTGATTTTAGAATTAACGGTAAACTAAGAAATTCCCTATCTTCGAAACCCCTTACTTGAGCGGTTAAAAGCGGTATTAAAAGATTAGAGCGATTAGCTTGAACGAACTTTGTGATACGAGACTTTTATAATTATAATTCCATAGATACTTATAATACTATAATATATATATATATATATATATATATATATATATATATATATATATATATATATATATATATATATATATATATATATATATATAATAATACTCCCACTTCTATACCAAATTCTTGCACACACAGTGCAAGCTGCTAGCTTTGCATTCCTTCCCAAATGATATCAGAGTAGCACAGAACGTTCACCCCTTCACAATACAATTGACAGTTATTCATATGTATAATAGTTATTCTATATTTATGTTTGTATTTATGTGAATATGTATATATTTATATGTATATTTACATATATTTATAATTTTATTTATCTCTACTTTGTTACTAAAGCTATTAATAATATAACTTATTATTTATCATATTATTTTTCTACCAAATATGTTATGCTTTATATATAAATCCTATAAACATTTTTTCCTTCCGGGTTCTCAAGGTTTACTGGAAGAAATTCCTTTAAGGGATAACTCTGCCTTTGTAGATTTTTATTATAACCTAATATCTAATTAAAAGTGAATGTACAAAAATAGATAAATAAATAAACATAATTATGCCAACTGAATTTTTACCCCGATGGTATCAACATCTTCAGCTCCTTCGCCCTTTTCTTCAGCCATATTTTTAATTATAAAACAATTTTTTAATTTTAATTAATGACGAATTTAATTACGTGACATGTAATTTTTTTAAACATTGACTGTATATTTTTACCTGGGAAAGTTGAATTCTCTTTGAATATACCTATCAGGATTATATCTATTCTTTTTTTTTTGTAATATATAAGGGTATAATAATTTTCAATAATATTTTTTTGTAATATTTATGAAATCGTGATACTATTACTTTATCTACGGCAGTGACAATATATATTTTTTTTAATTTTTGGCTAAGCGCAAATGGAGAAGCGCAAAAGCGTTGCCCATTGTCACTAACAAACAGAAAAACTGAAGATTAGGCTGTATGGCTCAGTACCTTTGCCTTTCCCTGAGTGGGATAAATTAAACTACTACTACTACTATATTAAAAGAAAACGGCAAGGATTTGATTAGTAACTTTAATGTTATTATGAGAAACAATAAAAGTTAAGAATTTATAGATCAAAGGGTCAAAATAAGCTAATAGGCAGCTAAATTGGCTTTGGTTTCGGTGACTATTATTGTTGTTGGCTTGAGACATAGAAATTAAAATCGACTTTATTTTACCTTGCTTTAACCATGGGTGAAACAGTATACTCTGTTATGTCCACGGTACTGCTCATGTCTATAGGCGACGGTTACCACTATCTATCAGGTGGGCCGTCAGCTTGTTTGCCATTCTGTTATATAAAAAAAATCAAGAGACTGCAAAAAAAGGAGATTCTCATTTCGGTTGTATTTTTTATGTTTGTTACTTCATAACTCCGTCAGTTTTAAACTGATTTGAAAATTCTTTGTTTTTTTTATCTGAAAGGATATGAGTACTTATACATTGGTCCCATAGAAATTTTGTCAAAATCGATTTAGTAGTTTAGTTTTTAAGTCAAACTAATTGGTTATGTCACAGTTGAAGTCTTTTTTTGTGATGTTTAATGATTATTAAATTCGACCGCTGTGAACTGTATGCATGTAGTTATAATCCACCGCGACTACCTCTGCAAAGTTCTAGACATCAATCTACAACATAGAAAAATAATTTCGTATTTCTACGCCGTTATTTTATTTATTTATTTTTTCATTAGTACAAATATATGTACATGGCGGACTTAATGCTAAAAGCATTCTCTCCCAGTCAACCATAGGTTAGTGTCAGAATACTCGAATGCGGTACTAGTAATTATTGATATACATACATACTAAAATTACCTATATAAACGAATAAATATATATAAATAGCAATTATACTTACACAAATATGACATATACTATATTATACACGAAATTGAAAATAATATAAAGCACTTACTGCTCGGATAAAGTAAAAAAGTGAGCGTGAACGTTTTTTTTGAAAGGCGGTTTAATCGGTAGTCTTTTAATGGCATCAGGATGTCTTTATCAAAAAACAATACCCGTCACCTATTCTGATGAATTTTATTTTCATCATCATCATATAACAAGCCCCCCCCCCTTGGGAGGTTTTGCTAGTAGTTGCCACGCTTGGCGCGCGGATTGACGCTGCTGTCCATCCCTCGCCCTCCCTTAGTCGCCTCTTACGACACCCATGGGAAAAGAAGAGGTGGCCTATTCTATGCCGGGACCTCACGAATGTTATTGATTCTTGATTATTAACACTACTACTACCAGTAGTAGACTAAGTGTACAATGTAATCAACCAGGTCGACCTCCACGTGGTCCCCCTTAGAACCCATCGTTCTTAATTCCAAGTGTATTCATCACAATAGGCTAACTGACCTGTCTTTTCATCTTCACCTGTCATCACTCACTGGTGCCCCACCAATGATAGCGTAGGTGGAGTCACCATTCCATCATCATCTATTAAAAATACAGACAAAAAATGGAGATAGCACAATATTATTGCAAGTCTCTGTATTAAAAAGAAAAAAATAAAAATAGTAAAACGGAAATAACTTTATTTGTCACAAAATACGCTGCATACAGATATTACTATGCATTAAATTAAATAAAACACTCTTAAATATTAAAAAAAAAAAAACGATCCGACGACAAAGAATAATAGTCCGGGCAAATGGATTTGGATTCTTTATATGTAAAGGCAAGCGTAAGAGATCTGACTAGAAGTCGGGGGCAAATTGAATACCTGTTTTTAAGGTACTTTTAAGTTCCGTATGAGGTTTTTTTTCAGCAGTTCTAACTACTATTTAGTTTACTAGCTATACAATGTCAAAAAACTACGATGAAATATCTTCATGAGCGAATGGTGAATAATATTATAAATAGGTAAGTGTATTGACACTAGAGATTGTAAGCACTTGATTGAATTTGGAATCCATTCTTTATAAGTTACAACAGTTGCCTGAGTTAAACTGTTTAAATTAATCTTTATAAGTGTTCTCACTTAAATAATTTCTTGACACTATCATATACTTACTCGAAAGTAAAATTATTACATTTTTAATAATATTTCATAGCAGCATAATAGGAAATAGGTATATTCAATCTCGTGTGAGTATTTATTCTGTGATATTTCATTAATAGAATATAGTCAAATAATAATAATACATTTAAATAAAATTTATCCGAAAAATCACAGACGTTATAACAATTATTGTTGATAACAATTATTAATTTGTATAGCCTCATAAATAACCAAATAATTTTATAAGTACTTATCTATTAAACATTGCCATTTTTAATATAAATTCAATACTTTATTTTCGTAAATAAATATTATAATAATCCAATAATAAGAATTCTGAAAGTTTAAATTAGAAATTCGTGAAATCACTAAAACTAAATCTAAATATCTAAAAAATTAATTTCTATTTGCAATTTGTACTTTACGGTATATTTTTTATCAAGCACATATCGTATGTTGAATGATAAAATTGTGATCACAATTATTTCTCATCAGTTTTCCGGTTCACAATATGCAGCTAGGTATCGAAAGTTCTGTTATGTTAGAGTACTGATAAACAAGGTCAAGCACTTTAATAGACACTTTTGGCCACGAAACTTGTCAATGACCTCGATCAAGTCGAATTCCAAACAAATAAACATGTAGTATGGTGTTCGCTGTTCATTCACTACCTTTTACTAAACCAGTTGTGTATGACAATGTTCTCATATTTCTAACGCGGTGGTGCCTGCGGTGGAGCCTCTTCCAATTTACCCCACACAACATTACACATTTCTCTTACTAATGCTTGCTCTCCGGTGTCTAGGTCTGGCGCTGGTCTTCTCCTTTCCCTTTCCACTCGTTCTCTTACTTCTAATACTTGTAAAGCACGAACTACAGCTTCAGGTCTTTCACTAACGCCTCCTCCTATTCCCTTTTCTGCCTCCAACTTCCGAACTTTTTGCTCTAAATCTCGGACATATTGTACCGTGCGCTCTGCTAATTGTGGATGAGTGACGGGTGCAGATGTTGGGGCGCGCGGAGCTTCCTCAGCATTTGTACTGCTGCTGCTACCGTCGCCGTCGTCTCTTTCTCTACCAGCTGCTCTGCCGCAATTCACACATGTGCTTCTTTCGTGTTCTTCATCCAGCAATAAAAATAAATTTTTCATCTGTAAATTATCTCGAATTAATTCCTGTTGCTTTTCATCTAACTCTTTTAACTTATTCTGGTACGCTGATACTTCTTGACGCATTACTGACGCTGTATATCTGCCAAACCGCTGCCACTCTCTAGCTAATTTACGTCCTTTCTGTCGATCATCGTCCAAGAAACAACATAAATCACGGAGCTCCCGATTGTCCTCGCTCAAACGTCGGTTAGCTTCCTTCAGAGCTTTTATTTCATCTAAAAGCGTTTGAATTTGACGTCTTTGATCCGTCGAAGCTCGTGGTCCTTCAGTATCAACACGTTTTGTAAACTTAAGCATATCAGCCGATCTTCTGTGTATCTGTTCTTCTTCAATATTCCTTTGGGTTCGTTGCGTGTCGTCGGCACTTCTTGCTCGAGTTGTGGGCTCTACAGGTTCGTGCACAATTGCTTTTGTTATAACTTCAGCTGAAGGACGCAATACACGAAGTGCACCTGGCGGTAAAGGATATCCTGCAGGGTATCCTTGAGGATATTTCCCAAAGGGAATCGATCCGCTAGGATAAGCGCTCGGTATCCCGCCGTGCGCCCCTAGCGGATAATGTAATTTGTTCGGATCGATAGGCTTGCCGTATGGAGGTTTGAACTCTTTAGTGGTCGAGTCAACAGTGGCTATATTGGGGGCACCTGCCGCTGGCGGAGGCGGATGATATCTTGGTGGAAAGTTAACCAGTTCTGAAGCTTGTTTACCTAGTTGCTGTTTCTGTTTACTAAACTGGCCTATATTCGGATTGATTGACATTGTTATTGAAACAAATTTGCTCATCAGCACATTCAATGCATTTTGCTAAGTTTATTTATCGTTTATAACCAAATTAGCAGATAGCGCTCACGCGAAAGCCTAAACAGCATGCGGTCGACGATTGGTCCTTGAATGAAAGAAGTGGGGGACGCCGCCGGCTGCGTAGGTTGTGGACCGTGGCATTCGCGCTATTAAGCTACCTATGCCGTGTTTTTTGTTTGCACTGCACTACACTTCCTGCACGTTTTCTTCCATAAAGTATATTGTCGTGTATTATATTCACAAGTGGAGAAAATTTATATGTGTTTGAGAACTTAACAATTTTGTTTAAAGATTACACAAAGCGCGCGTATATTGTATGGCAAGATGACGCGGGCGCGCGCGGGGCGCCTATCTCGGACTGGCTCGGCGCCTTCGCAACTTTACCTGGCCGAAGGCTCTCGCGGTGTCCCGCTCTACCGAGCTCTCTCACCTGTGTTTACACACACACAGTTACCGTGCGTTTGTAATTGTGAATAACAATTATTGTCATCTTCAAGTTCTGGTACCTACACAGCGTGCGCTCGCGCACAATGTGCGCATCCGTAGGGTTATGTAGATTATAACCCGCGTGACGCTGAGAGAAATAAGAGATCATGTTTACTTCTTCTCATAATAATTATGAATGTAGGTAGTATGGTATACTTACATAATAGTGTTTCCTAAACTTCTGACAAGTATTTTTCTCTAAATTTAAAATCCTACTTCCTACTCAATCCACTTATAAATGTGAAAGTTTTTACGTGTAGTGCTATTATTAGATATTTGGAAGTTTGTTATTTTAATTTGAACCTGAACTAATATTATAAAGAGATATATTTTTGTTTATATTAATTATACTCAAAAATACTTAACCGATTTTATAAATTCTTTCAATTATAAAAAGCTACATTATTAGTAATATAGAGTATTTATTTGAAAATAACAAACATGCGAAGCCTGATCGAATTTTAATGCAATTTTGTACGCGAGTAAAATTCATAAGACACTTTTTGTTCGTTCGAAAAAAAGTCGGGAATATGTAAAACTTTCTCTTGCTAGTAATAAATAGCACTGCTCTATTTATTTCACCAGAATATAATGTTACTTACGAGTAGAGAGGTTTCGAGGTCCCTCGGCTTGAATATTCGATATTGGAAAATATAAAATTAAAAACAGTGACCTTATTATTACGCTTATTATTATGAACACTTAAAATTGATAGTTTTACAGCTCTAATTAAGATTAAGATTAACAGGTAATATTCTTAATCTATACCCCTCATAAAATAAAAAATAAATGTGGAAAAATAGATAAATACCTACTCTCATTATAAGAGAATTTTGTAATTACTAAAATATCGAATATTTACACTTTCAAGTTTCATATCCGGGTGAAAAAGCCAATTGTAATTATTACAAATGGTATCCCTTATATATGAGATATGATCGATAGCTAATCTTACTTTTTTCTAAATAATTAATGTGAAATAAAAAGTTACAACATCCGCCAATGAATTAAAAATTGAGAAGTCCGCGCAGTTAGACTATTATTTTTGTGTATACGTATTTCAAGCAACATCTTCATTAATTGTGAACCTTTTTTAACTATCCATTTATTTAATCCAAAGGATTTACTTTTAATGTGCTATTTCTAACAAACTTCAAGAAGACGGAGGTTCTCAATTCGATTGTATTTTTGTTTATATCTTTGTTACCTCATAACTCCCTCAGTTCTAAACTGATTTGGAAAATTTTGTTTTTATCTGAAAGGATATATTATAGATTGGTCCCACAAATATATTACCAAAAATGGTCTGGTAATTTAGTTTTGTAATCAAAATAACTGGTTTTGCCACATTTGATATTGTTTCTTTTTTTGGAAGACGATCTTTATTTGTCAAAATTATTACAGACATACTAAATCTTAAGTAATTAATTACTTTATTATTAACGTTACTCGAAAAAAAAAGGTATTTTTTATTTATCATATTACTAAAGTTTTGGTATTAAGTAATTGATTTTGCCGATCTCACTGGGAAATAAAAAAAAAAGTTATTTTTATTGCTATTTTGGATTAGAATAGATTGGACTTAAAAATATAAAACCTCTCACTACAATGAATTTATTAATAGCTAATATAAATTTACAAATACGAATGAAAAACAAATTACCTAATGTATTTACTCTCGAATCGCACATTTAAATATCTATTTGCATAGATAGAGATATTTGTTTTGATTATGTCAGCGTTAATTTACTACCAACCGTGCGAAAACATATCGTGCGTATTTTACACAACCATAACATATAGAGACTTACAACACCATCAACCATGACTAGCAATTACCCACCGGCTGTTTATCTTACGCGAACTTATGTATAACCTGCCATTATTACAAATATCATTCGCTAAGTTTACGAAACGCGTCAGGCTTCCAGGCATCAAAGTGCCGCTAAGGAAAAATTGTCTACGCAATGAAAATTCTTTTACATACTGAATATATTACGAATGTCCCCTCCAGGCAGTCGAATACGACACAGTATAGCAGTCATCGGTCAGGAAGGATGGCGTATGCACGGGCGCAGTCGACGTTTGCAGCTATAGCAACGCTCCTTGCTTACGGTAAGTGATTCTTGCAAAACATTGTTAAAATAATCTTACTTAAGTATTACAAATAACATGAGTGAGCCCTATTTCTGTAATTGAGTAGTGGAAATATTTTCAACTATTGCCAATTTTTTTTTGCAAAAACTTAAAAATAATAATAGATAATAATTTATGTATTTATCTTATTAATTTATTGATACAATTGATAATAGTAATAATTAGAATTTTTAGTAGAATATTATATATACCTTTATAATTTTAATTTCCGTTTATTTTTAAGGTGTAGAAATTCTGAGATATTTAACACAATTAGAGATTTCATTAATCTATACCGATTTCAAAAAGGAATTAAATCTCGAGGATTATTATTTTTGCTTTTCCATTATTGGTCCCACGCTTTGAGATTGAAATCCGTAAAAGTTTCTTTATTTTAAAATTATAAAAAGGCACTTTGGTATGATAATATAATTTATATAAATATTTTAGCATTTTTCTTTTTATTTCACGAGTTTTTATTTAATTTAATTTTTATTTAGTAAGTCAAGCATTTTCAAGCGAACGTTCGTAATATAATGGTTTTTAGGGTAAAAAAAGTTGCTTGGAAAATTGTAAATATTATTATTTTTAAATGCACTCTCATTCATAATTAGCAACAAGAGTAACATTGAATTACAAAGATTTCAGTAGTCAGTTTTCAAGTGACGTCAAATTGTAGAAAGGAGATCACCTAACGTTCCCATGATGTATACAAACAGTTCATTACTTGATCCAAATTTTCAGTTCCGCAACAGAGTAACATAGTAAAAACACAATTTTTTATTATAATAATATATAATTATTATTATTATTTATTTCAACCATTAACGGTCCACTGCAGGACAGATGTAAGTCTACCCCATAAAGGGAGTTTTGCCAGGAAGCTTGAGGATGTTTTAAGAGGGACGCTGCTGCCCATCCCTCGCCCTATATAATAACAATAATATTTTTATCATAATCCCTTCCTTTCCTGTGGGTGTCGTAAGAGATGACTAAGAGAGAGCGAGGAAAGGGCAACAGTGTCCCTCTTTAAATATCTCTAAAACCTAACTGCGATTGCCAATCCGCCTGCCAAGCGTGGCAAATACTGACAAAACTCCCCAAGAGGGATACTTATGTCCAGCAGTGGACAGTTAAAGGCTGATATAATGAATACAGTCCTAAAATTATGTAGGAAAATTAATGAATTTCTCATCAAAATTACATAATTTAAATATTGTATAATTATGTAGATTTCAATCATAATAAATTAAATATTTGCTATAAAATACCTACATAATATTTATCTTATTCCGATATGATGGAAAAAAGTCGAACGATTCTTTTATATTATGTAATTTAAAAATGTTAATAAATAAACCTATTACCTAGCAATTATCATTCGAAAGAAAGTTGTCTTTTCCATAAAACATATGTAGATATAAATCTTCGAAGTGCCAAAAAAATATCCTTTCATTACTTAATTAAAAAATAAAGCATATTGGGAGACGACCGTTGTTCAAAGTCTCTCTTGGTATTTTTTTAATGGGTGAAAATGGAGTGGTTACTTCGCTTGCTCTATCTGCATACGCTGGCGGAGCACCAGTAAAGGGTGACAGGTCAAGATAAAAACCGGTCAATTAATGATGATACATGGCTGTGTTCCCGTTTAAAGAGTGAGATATGGCAGTGAACTATAAAGCATAATGCCATAATCCTCAGAAATAGCAATGCATGAAGTGTTCTATAGATGTCGCTGTGTATTCTGTTACATCTACAGTGCGATTATATATATTATTGTTTACGAATAACTTTACCACTTTCTATCAGCTTGTTTGTCATTCCAAGTCGCATAAAAAACTATTTCTGCAATTCTTTTACTGAAAATTAATGTGGGTGTTATGGTTGGAATAGAATAGTGGTACTGCCTAATATCAAATATAGATTATAAACTAAAGCAGTGCAAGCATATTGGGCCCATAATAAGTAGCCCATGGGTACTAGTAATGACGAAAGACTAATTAAATGTATTTTATATTAGATAACCTGACAGACGTCATTCTGTCAGAACTCTGATAATATTGTGCATCTGCAGCTAGTAACAGTTTGTATGGTAAAAAGAATAATGTTTTTTACCTTTTTCTGGGAAGTTGTTCCAATTTTTCGTAATTTTTCATAAAAACCTGCCTCAGGCTTCAACTGATATTTGGAAAAAAATAACCGAATTGATCAAGCACTTCTCGCTTTATGCTTAGCAACACATTTACGAGTAGCGATTTATTTTAATTTGTATAGATTTGTAGTCTTCTAATGGTTATGATAATTACAGGAAGAAAGTATTTTACCTTGCTTCTTTAATTGGCAGTTATATGGTGAAATGAAATGAAGTTAAATATTTAATTGCTTTAAACAAATACATAATAAAGGCCGTGTGACAGACCTTTTTAGCATCTGTTTAATTGCCTTAAAATTGTAGGCATGCAAATTTAATGTATTAAATAAATAAGGATACAAGACTTTTTTGTGATTTTTTGTATTTTTACATACCAACGTGACTGTTGACTAAAAGTCCCACTGATATTTCCTTTAAAAAAAGCCTAAGTGGCTTGATATTGGGTTTGTCTTACGAGACTTCATTGATTGAAATATTGATATATTATGTTTATACTTGGTCACTACGTAAAGAATAAAACTTTTCCTCTTAATATGTATTTTAAATAATTTATATATAGAACTTATAAACTTAATCGAAAAAGGATTATTTCATTTTATAACTTAACTATAGCAATTTGCATTGTTACAATCCATCGTAGTTGACAGTGTGAGCGGAATATAGGATGTGGTGAAATTTTACATAATTTGTTGTTACATACACTTGAGGAATTTAAATTTGTTTTCTTCAACTTTTTTATTATACTAGTGTCTCTTGGGAATGACGAACAAATAGATAATTGGCAACAAGTACGTTCACTAGATAGAAAGTGGTAATAGTAGTATAGTACAAGCATGGACTCCGAGGGGAAAGGGATTATTAGTAATGGAGTATGAAAATTCCATTGCTAGCAATATACCCTATATTGTTGGCAATATATTTATTTTTATGTAAGTCGACCTTCAAGCGATTCTCCCTAGAAACAATTGCGGGTAATTTTTCATGAATTTATTACAATGGGCCAACTTAACTATCATCTCTCATCAGCTTATACATCGATATATCGATATAGCGCAGTTGGGGCTACCATTCCATTTTCAGAAATTAAAAAAAAAAGCAAGGACTCTGTACTTATCTATTCTGTTGGTATAATTAATCCGTGGCATGGCTGCTCTTAATATTACAGTTTGTTAACTTGGTACTTCTTCAGTGTAACCAAATTATTATAAAACTCATACAGGATGCAATAGTATATGGACTAATTTTAAATCCCAACAATCGATGTGCCCTATTCACTCTGATAAAGTTGCATACACAGCAAATTGTCTTCCTATGTACAATGTACATTTGTTATCCCACATATTTTAAAACATTATATATTTTTTTATTTAACCAAAGTCACAATATGTAAACAGTCGGCCTTTTGGTGAATAGGTACCGTCTTATAGATCTGTACTGATCTCGAAAATGGAATATACAATGGAGATGTCCCTGGTCCTTTTCTAATAAATTATTATTTTATATGTGTCTTAGTGAACCTTTGAAATTTGAACCTGTGTATTTTTTTTGCTCGATAAATTTAATAGTTCGTAAAACAATATGCCATCTAGGTTATTAATTATACGTTAAAAATGAGAGAAAACCCACTTTAATGTAATAGAGATAGAGATTAATAAACATTCTTCTTCGCCATAAACAGAGAAACATCAAATATTATTTCTCAATTATTTTATTTTCTATTTATCTGCAGCTCATTTAGCATATCTTTTCCATTAACTCGTACCTTCATCACACCAATCCTTATACAGTAAACAGATTAGATACCTACTTTACTTAATTTTCTAAATAAGAAAGAAATATCTTACTTATACTTTTAGACAACGGTTGCTACTTTTCATTAGATGATCTGTCAGCTTGTTTATCATTTCAAGCTGCGTAATTTAAAGAGATTCTAAATTAAATCACCAATTTTTCAACAGGTACTCTAGCTCAAAGACCCAATCCGATCAAAGAGGCTCTACTACTGCACAACAGCAACTTCTCAGAGGCTACATTCGAGGACTGTATATGGAAACGGGAAAGGGAGCCATGCCCGGACCCTGACGTACTATTGCATCTCTACACAGAAGCGGAGCCCTTCAAGAAAGTTGTAAGATATATTTTTTAGCGGATTAAGTCATTAATATACCACAAAGCATAAGCCATAAAGTGAAAGTCCTACAGTGGACTAATCTAGTCCAGTGACCAGTGAACTATCGCCGCAATATTTTTGAATATACCACGGAGTTCCTATGCAATTAATCTTGCGTTATCAGTGTTGTCACTTTTAAAAATTTAGATACCATGCTTATGTCTGATATTATATATACTATCTACTAACACTAGAAAATTCTTTGCATGATAGAAATCTGTGATACGGTACCTATGTTCAGACGAGTTACCCTTATAGAAGAACTCAATACACTGACGGGGCACCAATGAGAGATAATAGATGATTATGATGAATGAAAAGGCAGGTCTGTTAACCTATCGTGATGTGTACACGAATATTCGATTGATGGAATTCAGCACGATGGTTTCTAGGGGGACCACGGGGAGGTTGACTTGACAAGCTATATCGCTAGCAATAGGACTGGTGATCCGCAATACTAACAATCCCTTTTCGCCTATATATATATATATACCTATATTTAGACTATGAAAACTAATTACATATTGCTAGCTACATATAGCTCTAGCCAAATCTTATCAAACTGAGGGGGAGGAAATTATCAGTGACAGGATATTCATAATATTTTTTTTATGCAATTATACAAACTGACGGCCCACATGATGGAAAGTGTTAACCGTCGCCTATAGACTTGAGCAGTACCATGGACATAACAGAGTATACTGTTTCGCTCATGATACCCGTGTGTTACCATTCTTGAGAACAGGTGTTCTTCCTCTGTATCCTGTAAATTCACTACCATATCCCATCTTTTAAACTTAAATCAGCCATGCAAACACAACTGCTTCACTGTAAAAACACGAAAAGTGCCCAAGCACCTCTGTCCAATTCGTGTTTGCAAACGAGTTTTGTACAAAGTCTTCTTCTGGTATTCTATTTTTCTCTTATATACATTCTGTCAACCATGACGTGGTTCCACTGGAAAATGGTTTCATAATCATACACATAATTCGTGATTATTTTTTTGTGAATTTGTTACAAAGGGCCTACTGAATCTAATTTTGTACCTACTTATTATCACTTACCAGCCCTCAAAGATATGCCGCTAGCATATACTAATAGTACAAACAAGGCTACCATTACATAATGATTCATAAAAAAAACCCTTATCAAACATAAAACCGTATTAAGGGTTTTACACATTTGTAATTTTAATTAGGTACCTTATTAAATTAACGAAATAGAGAGTAGGTACTTCAGCTTTATATTATGCGTATAGTAGTTGCGTGTTGCCGTGCTTTGTTCTTGGGAAGTTCCCACGCGTTCATTAGTTGTTGAACACGGTGTTGGAACGGCCATAACTTTATATGTACCTAGTTTTTTAATAGAATGTACGTAGAGTAGTAATCTTGTCTGCGCCATCAGTACACGCTGACCGGACACCCGTGAGAGGTTATAGGTGAGGATGGAGTTAGGTCAGTTGTCTTGTCGTGACGAATGGTTCAGAAGTCAATTATAATGGTTTCTAATTTTGGAATATTTTTGATGGACATTTTCTATGTAACTTAGCATGGCAAACAAGCTGATGACCCACCTGATGGATAGTGGTAATAGTCGCCTATAGAAATGAACAGTACAATGGGCATAACAAAGTATATCGTGTACCCATGATATATTTTATGCGACCATTCCTGAGGACTAAGGTTTGTTATGCCTCTATACCTTGTATTTTTATCGCCATATCCCAACCTTCAAAGCGAAACAGAACCATGCAAACACAACTGCTCCCCCATTGCTAGCAATAAACTCCTATCAGGTCGAACTCCACGCGGTTCGCCCTGGAAATCATTGTGATTAAATCTTGCTGAATTGGTCACACAATGGGCTAACTGACCTGCTTTCATTCTCATCTATCATCTCTCACTGATGCTCCGCTAGTGTATACTGATAACCCAGGCGGAGTTACCATTCCATTTTCACACATTAAAAAAAAAAAACACAACTGCTTAACGGCAGAAACTTGAATAGTATTTACTAGATATAAATAAAAATGTCGATCGATGAGATGTAAAATTTTGAAAAATCTATTTTAGGATTCTAGTATTTTGTTTAGGATGGTAATATTGACCCATCCAACATAAAGAATATAATTCCTTTACATATATTAATGTAAATTAAGTAGTAAACGAAAGCAGTCCACGGTCGGTTCTGTGGAGTGTGACCGCTGCATGCATACAAGGGCAAGATTCATTTTTCGATATACTCGTATAATACACGCCCTCAGTATTTTACTCGTGGCAAGAAAGTATATTTTTTCTCAATAGGTGATAAAATTTAAAGTTTAAAAATTATAAAAATTCTATAAATAGCACCATTTACCAAGTGGTAAACGAATCTGCGTTACGGAATTGAGTTATTGTGCCAAGTAGTAATCATGTCAGTTGACAGTGACCCTGTCGGTCTGACTATTTATTTATTAAACTTTAATACACTTCATCATTTCAGCTGTTAACTGTCCACTGCTGGACATAAGCCTTCTCCATAAGGGGAGTTTTGCCATTAATTGCCACGCTTGGCAGGCGGGTTAGCAACCGCAGTTAGGCCTCTGAGGATGTTTTAAGAGGGACGCCGCTGCCCTCGACCGTTAAGTTCCCTTAGTCGCTTCTTACGACACCCAAGGGAAAGGAAGGGGTGGCCCATTCTATGCCGGGACCGACACGGCGAATTAATACACTTACAATATATAAATGGTGGACTTAACACCATATGGCGTTATCTATCACTTGACCGTAGACAGAAATAACAGAAGATATAATTAAGGATGCAAAGTAATATAATAAAATTGTAACTGGAAGATGTCTGTACATGAAAAATATTTATGCAAAATTGATGTGTGATGTTTATATATGTAGATGCAATGGAAACCAAACCAAAATATTTCAATATTTTTGACTGTCGGTCAATCGAATGCGTCTTTCGCAGTCGTGTTCCTGAAGGTGTAACTTAAGAACTTGTGTATATTTTGTCATGATATATCGCCTGCAAATGGTCGATTTAATTGTTTTTCCCACTTTTGAAAACTACACGTACGTAGAATATTAATAATAATAATAGTAATAATAAACTCTTTATTGCGCACAGTAAAGATGTATACAAGGAGTATTTATACAGAACGTGCATATACAAAAGGCGGCCTTATCGCTACAAGCAATCTCTTACAGACAACCTGGCATAAAGAATGGATAAGTACAGAGAGAAAGGTAGATGGCGCAAATCAGACACAGTAAATGCATAAAAGGAATCAGACAAAATGCAAAAAATTCTAAATATAAAAATAAGATTACATAACCTAAATAAACATACATATATAATAAAAATAATAATACATAAACATACATATATAATATAAATAATAATACATAAACATACATATATATAATATAAATAATAATACATAAACATAAATATACTAAATTCAAGATAAATCACACATAGTAAACGTCAAAGCAAATTAGAGAGATATGAAATGAGATTTTACCTGCCTCTTGAACGAGGCAAGAGATTGCGCTGATCTAATTAAGGAGTTCCAGAGACGGATAGCTTTTATAGTGAAAGAATTGGAATAGAATTTAGAAGAATGAATAGGAGTTACTAAACGAAAGGATCTCGCGCTGCGCAATGTACGACCCTGAGAATCGACATGAATCAAAGCACATTTTGAGGTAATCGGGAGTTGAAGGATGAAAAAGAATAGTGTAAAGAAGAGATAGGATGTGCCAGTTCCTGCGAAGGCGAATTGGAAGCCACTTGAGTTGATTGCGGAAATCAGAAATGTGGTCATATTTGCGAAGATTAAATATAAACCGTATACATATGTTCTGAAGTCGCTCAAATATTATTACAAATTTGCTTTGTCGCGTGACATCGCCCGTATTAAATCACTTAGGTATAATATCTTCCGATCCTATAGGAATTCTCTTGGAAATCTCTTCTTAGTTTCCTATTTTTCATACAACATTATTATTGCTATTTGACACTTTATTCTACTTGATATCTTTTAAAAAATATTTATTCGATGTTATTCTTACGTATGTTATTAAAATTTATTCGGTTATTTTATCATGATGATATAATAGGCAGATATACATAAATTATATTTCCTGTTATTGACTGTTAGATAATGCATTTTTTATGCAACTTAGAATGGCAAACAAGCTGACGGCCCATCTGATGAAAAGTGGTAACCGTCGCCTATAGACATGAGTAGTACTATGGATATAACTGAGTATGCTGTTTCGCCTATGATACCCCCCATGCGTTGCCATTCCTTAGGACTCCGGTGTTATTCCTCTGTACCCTTCAAACCGAAACACAGCCATGCAAACAACTACTTCACGGTAGAAACACGAATGGGACAAAGGTACCCAAGCAAACGACTTTTGTACAAAATCTCCCTCTGATAAAATGGTTTTACTGGCATTATGATTAAGCTTATTAAGTCTGCCTTTTACACTGTCTAGTCTAAATGTTTAAAGTTCAGTTAAACTGTTTCCACTTCTTATTGCACGCACATTGCACGCTGGTAATTAATACTCTTTTTTACTCAAAGTTTGCTGGAAGAGAAATCTTACAAAGTTAAGATTGCTTGTTGTTGGATCTTTATCTAATATAAATTATAACAATGTAATTTTTGTATATCATAAATAATAAATAAAGTATAAATAAAAAAAAATATATATAAACATATACTTTATTATATTTACCTATTCTGTACAGCGTACCTATGTATGTAGTTTGTTTCAAGAAAAAACTCAATTTACAAATTACAACTCTATAATATTATTAGTTGCGTCTAAACATAATGAATAACCAGAAATCCTACATAAATTCCTAGAAACAGGCGACATTAGGGTCATCTCTTTCACTTTTGTCCACACATTATTATGTAAGGAACGTCAGCGAGACGGTTTTGCCAGTATGAAGAGGAATGCGACCGGAATACCGCTATTCGTCCTCGACGGGGACCACGCTTGCCTTTGTGACACATTCGTAGGTTTCATTCTCAATTTGAACATCGCATCGGTATAGTGTTCGAGACTGAAGGACCTAGATTCAATGTTTTGTCCCGCTCTGAACAGTTGTTACTCAGTCTGATAACGCTTGATTGCGGAGGGAAACGGATTATAAATACTCGTGTCAATTGTCGTTGCTAGCAATCTAAGTTAGCATTACATCCTATCAGGTCGACCTCCACGGGGTTCTTCCTGAAAAATTATCGCGGTTAATTATTGTCCAATTCATCTCGATGTGCCAGCTGAGCTGAGTTCATCCACATAATCTCATCTTCTACTGGTTGTATGCCATTAGTATAGGCGGGTGTACCACACAAACTTCACCTATAAAAAACAAACTTGCTTGACTGCGGTCGGAGGATCCAAGATCCCAGTCAAAAACGCTGAATTATTTCGAGTTTAGGTTTAAATGATTACAATATAATACTTTATTTGTTTTGAATAGATGATAACAAAGTTCTTATTTTTTTAATGAATGATAATGGAATGGTAACCCTGCCTGCGCTAATGGTATTCGCTGGTGGATAAATGAGGGATTAGATGAGAATGAAAACTCAGATCAGTTAGCCCGTTGTGATTAATACACTTGGAATTCAGCAAAATGGCTTCAAGGGGGAGCCACGCGGAGATCGACCTGACAGTATATATTGTTAGCAATGGTACTGATAGTCTACATTACTAACAATCCCTTAAAAAAATACGAGTATTAAGCATGCAAATTATAAATTATATTTATTTTTACTGCAAGTATCAATAATTAATTTAAAATTGTACAATAAACAGATCCGTGGATATTATGTCACATTAATTACATACAACTTAATTTATTACAATATTTTTATGTCAATAGATTAGAATATCAAATAAAATAGAAACAATATTAGCAAATGTAAATTATAAATATTTTTTTTACTACAGTATGTCATATGTCATAGTTTACATTTACATCAAATATGTTACACTAATTACTATCACGTTTGCCAATAAATTCTTTCAAAGAATAGAAACACTTTTTCAAAAACCACTTAAGACCTAATTATTTAAATTCTTTTGGGATTGCTTTGCAATTATTTAAAAATATGTAATTGCCACTTGTTTAGTGAGGCCCTCGGATACAACAATGGTGGCTTAGAAATTCTTAACACCAGAGGGCACCACCCTCTGGTGCTAGCAATATACCCCTAGGAAACATGCATGGTGTGGTGCTAATCCATATCATTGGGATCCATTCATATTTCTATGCTTATTTTATGGATGATAATGGAATGGTCACCCCGCCTGCGCTAACGGTATACGCTGGCGGAGTACCAGTGAGAGATGTTACGTGAGAATGAAAAGGCAGGTCAATTAGTCCATCATAATGAATACACTTGGAATTCAGCACAATGGTTTCCAGGGAGGACCACAGGCAGGTGAACCTGTTAGGGTGTATTGTTAGCGATGGGAGTGGTAATCCGCATTACTAATAATCCCTTCCTCCTCCCCATATTACTATGCTGCGTTGTTTAAAATAGTCGTATTTATTCTCTTTTACAGGTGGATCTGTACAGTGAAGATTGGTTGAGACAAAGTGGATGGGAGCCGTCCCATGAGACTATTCTGCTGATACACGGCTACGCCGGCGGTGATGATACTTTGCCTATCACAGTACTTAGAGACGGTAAGCATAAGACCTAAATTATATGAGCAATCCTTACTTGCTTACTAAGTAATATGTATTTTGTATGTGAAACTGCATTTGTCTTGTTACCTTAAAGGCATGACCAATTGTCATGAAATTGTGTATATGATTGTAGTGATACGCAACCGAGTTGGTTATACACTAATTTATTCATTGAAAGAATAAATAGAACATTTGTTCTATTTATTCAAATTTATTAACAATATTATTTATTAACAATTTTGTTACCGGTCAGTATTTACGAAATTATTAGTGGCCAGTACGTGAACATAATATACTACAACGAATACACAGAGTATTTAGAATAGAGCTTTCTCTATTACCTACTCTTTAACCCGGTCATAAGATCTAATTTGCGGGTACAACATATTATAGTGCTATTATAGTAGATACTTCAATGAAGGAGAAATTTCCATTTGACTGTATAATATTTTCTACATCTTTCCCGATTATGATCTAAGTAAATATAATTTCTTTTTATTTTTCCTCAAAGGATAGTCTCATCCCTATAAGTTAATTTTATTAAAATGGAAGTAAATTTTTGTTAAAAGTAATAAAAAGTAAAAAATGTTCTCTAAAGTTATAAAAATGTTTCTTGATTAATAATTAAATTATATTAATTATTAATTCTTATATTGTACACTGCAAATAAAGTTTACTTATTCATTCATTTAATTAAACTACTAATAGATGTCTTGTTTGTAAAGTAAGATGTTTACATATTTATGTTTAGATGTATACATGTATACATCTAAACATAAATGTTTGTTACTGAATTACGCTTAAAGAACCTTTTGTCAATCAATCAATCAGTCAGTCAGTCAATCATTCAGTCAGTCAGTCAATCAGTCAATCAATCAATTCACCTCCAAAAAGATGACGAATGTTTGTATGGGAGTTCTTATAATTGAAGCTAGCAGTATGAAATTTTAGTTTTAGACTTCAGGAAAGCCTATATTAAAGAACCTTTTGAATGTGAATTTGTAGCCGTGATGTTCCGCCACTCCTGCGCAAACCACACTAGCGGTTGTGCCCGTAAGAGTGCCATTACCATGAATTATAATAATTGAAGTTATTCTTAAATTAGGTAGATAACTACTACCCCAAATACAGGCATATTGAGAATAGAAGGATAATAAATGGGTTGGTCATATACCTCGAAAGACCGATAATCGATGGGAAAGAAAGATTTTTGTATGGCGACCTAATATGAGCAAACGCAGTTAGGACGATCTCTCACTAGATGGAGTGACGACTTCAAATGCATTAAAAGGAATCAATGGATATAGGTGGCTCAGGACAGTCTTCTATGACAGTCTATGGGAGAGGTCTACGTTCAACACTGGACAGATAATGGCTGAGATGATGATGTAGGAAGGAGAATCAATCAATCAATCAGTCAGTTAGTCATTCAGTCTATCAGTCAGTCAGTCTATCAATCAGTCAATCAGTCAGTCTATCAATCAGTCAGTCAGTTAGTCATTCAGTCAGTAAATCAAACAGTCAATCATTCAATCAATCAATCAGTCAGTTTATCAATCAGTCAATCAATCAATCAGTCAGTCAATCAGTCAATCACTCAGTCAATAAGTCAATCAGTCAGTCAATCAATCAATCAAAAAATTTATAAGGAATTGTATAAACAGTGTGAAATCAAAAGATATGCGCTGGCGACGATTAAGTACCCCACCATGATGAGAAAGCCTATATTAATTTACTGAAAGTATTTTAATTAAATTTGCTACACAAATAGTATAGTTTTCTATTATTTTAAATCATACATCATGAATTATGATGTAATTTTAAATAAGATCGACTATCAGAGATATATCTAAACAAATTGAGAGTCTTAATAACCTAAAATAAACAAATGATATAAATTCCTAACTCAAATAGGTACAAAAACTACTGCCTTCAAACGCTTTTTGTTTTTACCTTATGATTAGGTAGCACGCCGTACGGCAATATGCTCGCTACTTGTACAAATTTTATTGTGCAATAAAGAATAAATAAATAAATAAATAAAAAAGTGCGCCGCACTCAAAATAGTTAAATAATTGTTTCCATCCGGATTTCTATAACTGTGTACACTTGTTGAATATCAAATATCTAGCCTGTATTCGTTTGTAAAGTTTATGTACGACCGATAAATAGGTTATATAACTTTTGTTAGAATATTTTTGATCATTGGCATTTTTAACGGAGAGGTGGGGGAAGAGGTTTAACCACAAACCTATTTTGTAAAATCCTTGCCGAAATGGTATTTAAATTAAAAAAGTTAATGTGTTTATATTCAATAATATATATACACATATCTTTAATAAAATTCTAATTAGTCGATATACCATTGTCCACTGCTGAACATAGGTGCCCCTCTTTTGGGGCGTTTTGCCAGTCGTTTCCATGATTGGCAGGCGAATCGACAACCGCAGTTAGATCTTGGTGACGTTTTAAGAGGAACGCAGCTACCAATCCGTCGACCATTAAGTTCTCTTAGCCGCCTCTTACGACACTTATGGGAAAGGAAGGAGTGGCTTATTCTATGCCGGGACCACACGGCATAAAACATTTCGCTGTAATATCAATTGAAGCTTTAATTTTATTTATTTAATTCTTTATTGTACACACCAGTTATAAGAATATGACAGAGGTAATCAAATATACAAAGGCGAGCTTAACTCTAATAAAGTTTTCTTCCAGCAAACCCAAAGTGGAAAGAAGCATCAATGTCAGCGGGTAGAGCGGTGTACAATATAGTGACCATTTTTAAGCAAACTAGACTAAATTAAATTAATAACATTATATTTAATCGCATAAATACACATATACATAAATATATACCTACATCTATGCATATACTTACATATACATACATATACATATAATATACTTACATATGTAGATAAATAAATATATGTTCAAGTATAAAGAAATGGCTACTCAGAATAGACCGTATTGTTTAGGTATTAATTTATGATAAATACAGAAATACGGATTACACGTGAAAGTGAAAGCAGTAGCAGGGACTGCAGTATGCTCATGAGGAAGTTATCCTGGCGTTGCACTCGTCTACAGTGATTCAAAGTTGCATCGCGCTTGCACTTCGCTTTTACGTCGACTCCCATGACTTTCTCCTGCTTTATTCCAAGTCAACGACCGTTATATCGTACCATTGGCTTTAACATTATGAGTGCATTTATACGTAGGTTAGGTTTTTAATAAATAATTGATTAAAATTTGCTTGCGACTTTGTCTGTGTTACTTTCAATTTTATAATACTTATACTATATTTAACAGCATTTATTAGTAACTAAAGTTGTATAGGTAATTATTATATGTATAATAAACAAAGTAATATAACTACATATTGCAAAAAAACTTCAACTTAGTTTCTTGCTGCAGAAACAAACAGAAATGTTCCCTCATTTCCCGCTTCCAGAGTTTGAGTTTTGTGCTGACAAAATTGTACTTATACTACGTACTGTAGTGGTAAACGAGCATATGGCCCGTCTTATGTCATTCTAGCAGTACACGGAGCTAATACAGAAACGTATTTTTTAATATTAATAACATTGTTTTTTATTAATGTAATTTATTGTAGGTATCATCCAATGTTTAGATTAAAATAAGTATAGTACGAGCATGTATTATCACTACATAGTATAAAACAGTCGCTAGCCGTCTGTCTGTATCTATGTACGCTTAGATCTTTAAAACTACGCAACGGATTTTGATGCGGTTTCTTTAATAGAATGATTTAAGATTAAGGTTTATATGTATAATACATGCATAATATAGTAGAGAAACACTGATATTTTTATCGTACTTATAAGTACGTTACGATAAATAAAAAATATATGTATATTCGAAATTGTATTCTGCAGTATATTTAGTATTAGCATTGCACCCGTGCGAAGCCGAAGCGGGTCGCTAATTTTAAATAAGCTGTTATTTTATGTGTTTCCAAATATTCGAAAGAAAAATCTATTTTTGCCCATAGCGTATCTCCGACGTGGTGGGTACAACGTATTTATGCTCGACTGGGGGGCGCTCTGCCAGCCCCCGTGCTACGTGGCCGCTGTGCACAACCTGCGCCCGGTGGCTCGCTGCGCGGCCGAGACCCTGAATTCACTCCGACGGGCCGGACTACGCCCCGACCGCCTCACATGCGTGGGCCACTCGCTCGGCGCTCATCTCTGTGGCATACTTGCCAACTACATCAACTTCAGGTTGAATAGGATTATTGGTGAGTGAAAGTTCAGCAGATTTAAAGTTGCAATGGGTCGCAATGCAAATTCTATGCAAGAAGACACCTACTACATGAAGCAACGACTTTAAATGACAAGCAGGTAGGCAGCCAGTGGATGCAGTTTATATAAAATTAAGACTACAAGTGGCTTGGGGTCGTTTTATGACAGTTTATAATGGGAAAGGCTTATATTCAGCAGTGGAACTGTTCACTGGCTGAAATGATAATGATTTTAAACCCTCGTGATTGACTTCTAATAGGATACATATTTGAAAATATAGAAGATATTTGCCGTATGATCTCGGAGTAAATTGGCTCATCCGTTTCTATGCCGTGACTGTTGTAAAAGGCGACTTAGGGTATCTACTTAATGATCGAGGGATACTACCCAAGAAGTATCTCTTTTTAAACATCACCGAAGCCTAATTGCGGATGCCAACCAGTCTGCCAAACGTGGCAATTACTGGCAAAACCCTCCAATAGGCAGAGGCCTATATTCACTAGTGGACAGTTAATGACTGATTTTGATGAGATATTGTATATGTTTTACCAGGTCTAGACCCAGCTCGTCCTCTAATCAGGTCGGCGCCAGCTCTGCGTCTAGATCCAGGGGATGCGCGCGCTGTACATGTGCTCCACACCAACGCCGGCCGGTACGGCGAAGCTTCAAGACTTGGCCATGCCGACTTCTGCCTCAACGGTGGCCGTAGCCAACCTTACTGCGAAGACACTCTTAGTACGTATAGTTCATAACAAATATTCACAAATATTAAAAGTGTGATAAAAATATACTCGCCACCTGCTCTAATGTATTATTTAAGTAGATATATAATTTCAAATGTTAAGCTCGCAACCCAGGTTTTTTTTTATAGTTCTGGGTCGTGTAAATGACAAAACGATCTAACCTTGCTATTTGTCAGCTCCAAATATAAGAGATGGATTCAAAATTGAATGTATTTAAGTTTCGTGATTTTAAGAATGAGCTATAGATTGTATGGTGTTGACATTACTTACTATGACTCCGAGCGGAGAAATCTGACGTCTCTTTCTGCATACATATATAATAGACATATCAAAGACAAGACATGTCGAGTTTTTGTTTCTATAACGAACATACAGACAGACAGACAGACAAAAATTGTACTGATTGCATTTTTGGCATCAGTATCGATCACTAATCACCACCTGATAGTTATTTTGGGAATATATTTCATGTACAGAATTGACCCCTCTACAGATTTATTATAAGTATAGATCTACAGTCGATCATAGATTATGCAGTACAGGCTGATGTGTTGTTTGCAGTAAACTGTGTCTATGTATGTCGCAGCATAATATACGTTCGTAAACTATGTCTGGTAACATAGATTAAGGATAGTACCTGCCGTCCTTCTGAGAATTACTAAGCCCTGTTAATTGTCTATTATACTGAGCCATATCGTCTGCATCTCTGCATACGCAAATAAATAATAAATATATTTCATGTACAGAATTGACCTCTCTACAGATTTATTATAAGTATAGATAGATAGATATAGATAAGATGAGCATGTATTTGTCGCTATCAAGGCTGCCAACTTCGCCCTTCTGTATTGCAGACGAGGCGCTGTGCAGCCACGTGTGGTCGGTGTGCTACCAGGCGGAGAGCCTGTTCAGGTCGCGCGAGGCGGTGCCGTGCGGCCGGCGCTGCTCGGTGCGCGTGCCGCCCGCGCGCGCCTCCGCCATGCCCGTGCCGCTCGGACAACCCGCGCCCATGACGTCAGTATACCATACCATACCATACCATATCGCGTGCCATACCATACCGCGCGCGCCTCCGCCATGCCCGTGCCGCTCGGACAACCCGCGCCCATGACGTCAGTAGAACAAACCATACCATACCATACTATACCATACCATACCATACTGTGAACTGACGATGCATTGAAATGCCTAACTACCTTCGCCTATACGAAATTTATGAAAATATCACGTACCTACTGTATTTTCATTCATGAACTTTCCATTGTGTCAAACTTCATTTAATCTATTGTTTTACCATGAAAACTTGAAAAACATTTAGGTCTGTATGAAAAAATTAAACAGTTATAAGGTCACTTAGATAACTACACCACAGACAATAGTCTCGTTCAACAATAGATAAACGTTTTTATTCATACAATGAATCTTAAAAGAACAAAATATCATACAAAAGAAGTGAAAAAGCAAGCCTTCCTAAAATCCACCGTAACATCACGACCGTTAAACTTCTATCAACAGAGCATCAGGCGCGTACTGTATCGAAGACTTCGCTACGCCGTTCTGTCCGAGCACCACGGGGCTAGCGGAGGGCGACCGTCGCTGCTGCCTGGACGAACAGTACGCGGCAGCCGCCACCACCACGCCGCCACCACGGAAGCGGCCGCGTCCACTTATTAAGCTCCGCGCGGGCAGGATCAAGTCCGGGCTCGATAACGTGGTCCCACACGATAACTAATGTTAGAAACAGTCTACGGTGAAATAGAAATTATTAGCTTGCTTTTTAAAAAGTTTTTTTACCAGTCAAACTGAACGTTTCTTACAAAGAAATACAGGTCGTTTTAATAGGTTAAAATAGATCGCTGCGTAATTACGAGGTAAACGATATCAGGGTACCATTGAGAGAGGATAGATGAGGATGAAAACAAATCATTTGGCCCATCGCGACAAATTCAAGATTTTTTCGCGAGAATCAGTTCAATTACGATGGTTTCCGGGTAAAACAGCGTGTAGGTCGACCTGATAAGATATATTTCTAATTTTAGATCCCATTATTAACAATCCCTTTTTTTCCAAAAACCCGCAACGGTTGGAAATATTTAACCTTCTATACTTTAATATACAGCAGGTCTAGACTTCATCTATCAAATTCAAATTTAAATCATCTTTATTAAAATACACATGTTTATAGGCACTTTTAAATCATTTTTTTTATGAATGCAGGATTTGGAAAGTTATTATCTGCTAAGAAGAACCCGCAAGGAAATTAACAGTTACTATTTTAAATTTCTGTTAATATTATCATTATTTATGTGTGTTTATTTAAATGTATTATGTCTAAATATACCCAACCAGGTACTGGTCATTGGAAACTATCATGATTAATTCCTGATGAATTGATCATGATAGGCTAACTGGTCTGTTTTCATCCTCATCGATCACCCTTCACTGGTGCCCCGCAAGCATATCCCACTAGCGCAGGCGGGGTTACCATTCCATTTTCATCCAATAAAAAAAATATATTATCATTATTTATTTCAATGTACTATGTCTAAAATTAATGGTCATTAAAAAGCCTGTACACGATCGACTTACACCATGCACATTTGTCATTCCAGTAATCGTTTTGTATAATAGGTTTTGTTCAATAAGTGTTTAGTACATTTTATTACTTTTCAATTTATCTTTCTTTAAGAGAAATGTTTAGTTTCACTGACAGAACAAAAGCATTCTAATGATTTTCGATTTCACTAGTATATGTTTGTATGTTTAAGGATAGACTCAAATGATTTAGATGGCATTAGCAAGGGTAGTTTGTAAACGAATGATTGAAAATGGACATAAATAAATAAAAATTAATTTAAATTAAAAGTACAAAGAATAATGCGTAGAACACTGTTCTACGCATTCACTGTATGTATAGGCAGAAACAACGTACAAAGTTTGTACACACAATACTTTATACACAATACTTTGAATGTTCCCAAAAAAACCCGTTTTCAATTGTGGCAAAACCAGTCATTTTGATTTGAAAATTAAACTGCTAAATTGATTTTTGTAACGGGACCAATCTGTAAATATATCCTTTCAGATGAAAAAGAACTTTCCAAATCGGTTTACAACTGACTGAGTTATTAGGTTCCAAATATAAAAAAAAAAAAACATACTACCAAATCGAGAACTTCCTTCTTTTTGAAGTCTTTGGAAAAATTGTAGTAACTACAGGAAAAACATTATTTCTCGAGTAAGAAGTTTGAGAATGTAAATATGTACACAGATAGCATATACGAGTACTATAGCTAAATACTTTATTTTGACATTTTTGATAATAATAATATATATATATATATATATATGGAGTGTTGTAGAAGCATACGTTTTCATTATTTTCAGATGCCATTTTTTATTGGAAATAATATTTGGTTCAGTAACCTACGTTAAAAATATTTTTTTTTAAAAACGTTATTTAACATAATTTAGGCTTTAATAAACTAGCTAGCTTCAGTTAAGCATGAATGCAAATTGTGTATACAGTCTATCATAAAAAAAAAATATATATTTAAACGACAGTGAATACCGTAACAAAACTCGTTGAGAGGTTTAAAAGAAACAAACGGAAGCGAACAGCGACTTTTGTTTTATACTATTTGAGATTAATTAATAAGTAGGTTATGAGGATTTTTACCAATAGACTTAAGCCAAAGAATCTACCTTAGCTGTTTATATTGAATAAATTCTTTAAAAAAATAAATTTTGTAGTGTTATTTCTAATACGCCAAAATAAAAAAAAGTCCAATTTAAATTCCCACTATAAAAAAACGGTCCAAGTTAGCCACCTACTCTTAGCGGGCTTACAATCATGCGTTAGTAACTCTATGGTAGTGTGTGCACAGACAAATCCCCAGTGTAAACATGTAACCAGACTACCAGACGATTTATATAGTCTCCTTCACCTAGATTATTCTTGTTTTACACAATAGAATCTATTGAAAAATTAACCAAGTTTGATTGAAATTATCACAGTAATACTCTCTATATGAAATTTTGCAATAATATAATGAATAAATATTTATTATAATTTTAAAATGTGGTTAGAAATTGACCAACCTGAATTTGTATTATTACTATTGGACATCAGCAAACTGTCTTATTAATGGGATTTGTTTACATTTAAAAAAAAATCGATTGAAAATTGTTAAAAGTTACGTAAACACAAATTGTATTTTAATGTAATAACTACCAGTTTAACTTACACGTAATTTGGTTAAAAAAATTAGACTAGTTTCGGGACCATCCCAGACCCTTAGTCTTTCTTGAACGGCTATGACTAAGACTAAGAGCCTTGGATGGTCCCGAAATTAGTCGAGGTTCTTTGCTCAATTTACAAATAAATCAATCAAACCGTATACACATTAAAAAAACAATAATAATCGTCTGAAATAAGGAGCGGGACTTTACTAGATTATACATTCGACACAGTTTATGTAGAAAAGATGCAAGCAAGTTGTATCTATGTAAATAATTGACATATCAAACATTTTCTATACACTAACCTGCTATGAATAATTTTACCCATTATTACGGCGATGTTTGTTATTCGAACCAGGAATTACTAAATAAAATGGATTGTTTGCTTAATAACTGTATACGGTTTATTTACGGTCTTCGTAAGTATGACCATGTATCGTCTTACCGCACTGAACTAGAATGGCTTTCGATTCGCTTGCGCAGATATGTCAGAGTTCTCTGTCATCTTTTTTCAATACTTTATAACCCACAATTTCCTCAATATCTCAAAAAAGATTTTAAATCTTAAGTACTATCCACTCTTGAGATCTTCGCTCCTCTTCTATCTATCTATTATTGTATAACCTCACCCAACGATCAAATTTCTCCTCTCAATCTTTAACCATCTGAGCCATCAACTGAGAATAACAATCACTGGAGTTTGAACAAGAAATTTCTCGTGATATACCGTCGCCTGCACTCGTAGTATTCATTTTAAATAATATGCACTAAAATCTAATATAAATAATGATTCGTTAAAAATTCGTACTGATAACGTGTTGTAAATCGTCGAATATATAATGTTTTGTGAAGTGTTTACTCTAACACTTATCCGACCGTACCAAAAAGGCGTTTTCTAAGTTAAGAACCGATATCCCGAAAGAGGATACTAATTTTAAAAAATTAAACACTGGATTATAAAACACTCTTACCAAATGATCCCATATTACAGTATCCGAATTTCAATTGAGAATTAATCTTGACAACTGATGCCTTTAATGTGGCAGTTGGTGCAGTTTTATCTCAAGGTCAATAGGGAGCGACAAACCAGTAGACCGAACATTGAATGACAGTGAATTAAATTACAGCACTATTGAAAAAGAATTATTAGCCAATATATGGACTACCAATTACTTTAGACCGTATTTATTCGGACGTAAGTTTAAAAATTTATATTGATTATTCATTTTCATTATTCACTGTAAGGTCTACCCTTAACAGTTAACCCTTACAGTGAATAATGAACCTTAAAGAACTCATCTCGAGACACGTTGGCGACTTAAATTAAATGAATACAATTATACAATCATTCTCATCTGCACCGCACTGTTAATTTTTCCCACGTTAACTCTGGGAACAGATACTATACCTTCGAGTATCATATAACAGTACAGAATTCACTAGTCAATTATTCTCTGAATTCACTTGTTTACATAAGATTAACCATCATAAATCGCTGGCTCACTCTCCCAATGATAACGTCATCATTGAGATTTCATTCAACATTTTTGGAGTTTATAGTTATTAGTTTTCCGTGAACTGTATTTAATACAAGTATGTTATTTTACCCAACTTCTTTTGTTAAATAGGTAGCAGCAATGACAAAAGTGTGAATGCTGCAGGAGGTGCAATGTCTAACCGGACTCATGGTACTCAATATATATGTTAAAGAAGCAAATATGCTCACCCTTTACAATATAACATATATCACAATACGCAAAAAATTGGGAAATACACAGGACTCTTCAACTCTTGTTTAAAAACAGCGATCTCAATAATCTTACAAGTTAGTTAATAAATCTAGTTACTTGTAGATCCGAATTCAAACTTGCTGTTCGGAAGTACCGTTTAGAAACAGTTAATAGGTTTTTATGGGAATGGACATTTAACATTATAATAAATTACCAAAGAATATTATACTTGTATCACATACGACTCACGGAAAACTAATAATTATAAACGCTGCGCAGTATTTTTAAAGTCACAGCATCAATGCACATTTTACAATGTATTGAAGCGCGCGCTTTTTCCGCGCTAATTATACTATACTATACTATACCACAGATAATATAATATAACTATATGACTATACTCTACGAACCTTCTTGAATGGCGACCCCATACGGACAAACGTAGTGTACGACGGAGTGACGGAGTGTAGGAAGTGAGTGTAAGAGGATTGAGTGTAGACCTCAAATGTATGTAGGGAATCAGTGGATGCAAGTGGCTTAGGACCGTTCCTAATGGCAGTCTGCGGGGGAGGCCTATGTTCAACAGTGGACAGATAATGGCTGAAATGATGATACTATATGAATATTTCTGTAGCAGTAAAACTAAATATGTTCATTCTTTTCTCCAATAAATTATTACTATTATAATGAGTTAATCGGATCATGGCGTTTTTGTGTGAAGTGTTCAAAGTGTGCTAAGAGAGTATTTATACAATAAAATACACAAAACTAACAACCACATTGAAAACAGAAAATGATATATTTATTAGTGACATTTAAATATTTGAAAAATAAAACATGAAGGAGCGCCTATGCTAAGTTTTAAAAATTTAAAGCAGAAGGTCTTACAACTGGCAAATTGATCTTACAAAATTAGGAACACCGTTAATAATAACGATATTTATTTATTAATACAAAATAGGTTGAATGACCGTCACTGACTAAACTATCATTGCCTGGAAAATTACCTTTTCCTAGTCTGGTGTAAGAAGACCCGCAGGAACTGTTTGTAATACTCCGAGATGATATAAAAGTCTCCTTCCGGCTGTTGTAGATATCTTCTTTGGGCTCAATAATAATGAGGACTCCTGTCCTCGAACTTCTTCATAATAGAGAAGGTGGGGTATTCTCTACCTCTAATCTCGTTAAAAGTCTTCTTAAGAAAAACGGGGGATTCCTGATACCAATCCTTGTTCCCTGGAAAGCACCAAAAAGATTGTTTTAGTATGGGTTAAAAACCTGCCAGCCTCCGAACGTCAACACGCGGACAAGGTGGAAGGTCTTCAGTAAATAATATGATTGATGCTGGTCGGCTTCAAGCACAAGAAAAACATAAATTTTATAAAAAATAATAAGCCTTGCGTTTGTTTTTTTTTTTTTAATTCAACCATTAATAACTGTAGTATTAAAATTACCGCGAATAAACTGTAACGATAGGTACCCATAATCAGAGGTTACGATTTCGATGATTAATATGTCAGTTGCGCTGATAATGTATCGGATGCCTTATCGTGACTAATGATGATAACGACTTATTAAAAAAAAATTCAGATAATAATTAGGAATGTCCGGAACAAATTTATTTAAATATTGCTTCATAGGACTTCCTTCCTATATCATCATATCAGCTTTGACTGTCCACTGCTGAACATAAGCCTTCCCCTTGGAGGGATTTGCTAGTAGTTGTCACACTTGGCAGGCGAATTGGCAACCGCAGTTAAACTTCGCAGATGTTTGAATAATAATAATACGCTGCTGTCCATCCCTCGCTCTCCCTTAGTACTCGTAGCCTTTTACGACACCTATGAAAAAAGAAGAGGTGGCCTATTCTGTCCCGGGACCACACGGTACAGGTTTTTCTGCTTGATTAATTAAAAATTGAAACGGCAATAGAGTCTCTTGAAGAGACTTAATACCAGGTAGTTTTAAGTTATGTAAGAGTCGGCTGGACAACTGAGATAAGTAGGAATTATTATTAACAAAATTATTAATTTAGGTAGAAATTAAAACCTTCTTTTAACAGAAGGTACGAACTTTACAAAGAGCTCACTTGTGTAACGTGACACCACAGAGCCGTGGTCCAGACAGCAAATGAAATAAACAGTAATCGTAAATGGAAACACTATGGTGAATGCAAAAAACAAGAGCTGCCTGCTCTCAGTTAGCCATAACCTAGGTAGATAGTGTAATGAAAGCATGCATATTAGTGAGATGCCTCTTTGTTGTATAATATTTAAACACTGTGACTGTTATGAAGTACGAAATGATTTTAATTTAGCTATGACTTGTTTGGATACCTTGAGTAAGTGGCGGTGTGGTGGGTCGGGTTATTGAGTTCCCCAAAATATGGCTGAGCACAATGATGGCTGACTCATCATACTCGTGAACGTGGTCTGCTTTGGTTACTGCAACTGATAAATTTTATGACCTATACTACTTGGTTATTTGTATCCACACAAATTTATAATTTATATAATTCATATTTTTGTAAAATAACAGCAGCAGCTGAGTTTATTGAATAAAAATATTTTTTCTCTTCTTTCTATAATTATTAGATACAGTATCATCTGTCATAGAGTGTCCTTAAAGTATCCTCGTTATTTTTTTTAGTTTACGTATTTTTATATTATTAGATGAGTTATGGGAGACATTAGATATCCCATCAAAACATAAAAGACTCCTTTCTAACATACAGGATAGTCCTTTCATTAACAATATTTATATATATATATATATATATATATATATATATATATATATATATATATATATATATATATATATATATATATATATATATATATATATATATATATATATATATATATATATATATATATATATATATATATATATATATATATATGGGACCTGACGTTATCAATGTTAGACATTTTTGCACGGCTGTGTTTCGGTTTGAAGGGTGGGATATGGGTACAAAGGAATAACATCTGAATCCTCAGGAATGGCAACGCATGGGGAGTATCATGGGCGAAACAGTATACTCTGTTGTGTCCATGGTACTGCTCATGTCTATAGGCGAGGGTTACCACTTTCCATCAGGTGGGCTTTCAGCTTGTTTGCCATTCTAAGTTGCATAAAAAAAAATATTAAAATAAAACGCGAAAACTTACCAGGCAAATTGCCACTGCAGTTTCCTTATATAAAATATAAGCTATATAAATAGACTCTATTTGATAATAGATGGCCTTATCCTTATTATGAAAAAAAATAACCCTGTATTTCTTAAACTTTGTTTTGTCAATATAAAACCCAAATAAAAATAATAGCACATATTTTCATGAATGGACAAAGATTAAAAGTGTCTATTAATTTTTAATTGCAGTGTGATTATGTTTCTGAGTTAGCTTTCTACTATTTACCTCCTAAAAGAAACAGCGTAATGATATGTTTTCTGTAGGATGTATCCTTTCCTGATTCTTATGCAATACACTAGCGAAAATCCTGTCGAAATTCATTCATGTTTTACGTGTTACGCAGTGAATATAAAAATATATAAGCTCAGCTCCTATAAGGAATAGCATGACAATATGTAATCGTATACTAGATCCTTTCTCGACTAATGTATTTCACAAGGGTGAAATACATTAGTAAATAGTGAAATTACCATCAAAGTTCATTTATGTTACCGGTTTTTGTGTGGTACTCAAAAAATTGTTTTGGGATCTATATCGACAGTAGGTATAACAAACTCTGATTAAAATTTCGCAAAAGTATTTAATATATAGACGAAATGCCGTTTTAGTTTTATAATATAAATTACTAGCGAGTCGCCCCGGCTACGCTCGGGTAGATAATAGAAAGACAAATTAGCATTTTAAATTAGTGCGAGTAATACGCTCGTAGTGAAACTTTTATAAGCAAGTTTTTGATACTTTGGGTTACATTAATACAATTTTAGTAAGGATATTTCATTTATTTGATAATAACATATAGCCTTGGTTATATGTATTATAGCCTTTATATGTATTTTATTTATATTAATTTTGCAAAATTATTTAATGTACTAAGTACCGTTTCAGTTTTACTGTATAGAGAGATTAAAAATTAATCAATTTACTCAAGTTCATAGGTAAATAGTTTGGTCAAACATTACAGAATCTCGCACAAAATGTTAACAAATATTAGATTATTAAAGAATCCAAATAAATTTAAAATTAAAATTTATTTTTGGGGCTCAAATAACGAAATAGAGTCAACAAAGTTTGAAAGTTTGAAGTTGAAAATATATTTTGTTTTGTTTAACAAGCGTAAGAATTTAAAATTATAAGTTAATTTATTACTTACACTAATTAAAACAAAAGTAAATCGATACTTCACAAAATTTCTGAACCTTTACATTGACTTTACATAAATTAACACATCTGTCTATAGAGAACAAATAAGTTTTCACTGAACTTATTAATGTAAACACCCACAATTAACACTAAAACTTTGAATGATCATAATAAAAATTTGAAACACTAATTTTTAAGACAGATAATGGCGGAGCGTGATTTCGTTACTTTAAACTAAAGACTAATTTTAAACTAGAAATACTAAATGTGTAGAACATCCCGAAATGGTATCCCGGTAATGATAGATATTGGCCCTTTATATATACGCATGCGTCTCTACTAACTGAAACGAGATGAATATATTTCACAACCTTTTGATCGTCAAATGTTACGCCCACTTAGGGCACCTCATGCATTTGCTTTAATTGCAGTATAACCACAGAGCAAGGAACTTCATGCAGTAGTCTATCGCCCTTAAAAATCATTTGTCATACAAGGTGAAACATCGCAGGGTTGTCACATTTATTTTAATCCGACTTCAAAAGAAGGAAATTCTCAATTAGATTATTTCAGTACTCACAATTTCAATATGAATATCATTTTTGAATAAGTTTATATTGAAGTTTTTTAAATTCTTTTAATTTTTACAAATACAGTTTTAAATATAATACTGTATATACAATAAATCATGTGAGTCTGCCGATATGGATTTTAAAACCTATTTGGGATTGAAGATTATAAAAATTAAAATAATTATGTACTAATAAATAAAAAAAAAACAAGAATAAGCAAGCTAAAGTGGCTAATGAACTGGTGACATAGCTCGAAGAACCGAGGTTCGATGGGTAAGAAAGATTCTTGAGTGGCGACCTTGTATGGCAAACGCGATATAAGATGACTCTTCCACGATGGAGTGATGACCTTAAATGCATTGCAAGGAGCCTGTAGATACAGGTAGCTCAAAACCGTTGATTATGGCAGTCTATGGGACAGGCTTATGTTCAGCAGTAGAAGATAATAGCTGAAATTATGATGATAATGAAATTAAACACATGGCGAGAATTTCGTACATAAATATATAAATATGAAAGGAAATGACGTTTATTGTATTTGTCATATGAAATAGAGACCTAATATTTTTTTTTTATTTTGGTCTATAATAGCGATTACAAACTAGGCTGCATAACTAAAATTTAACTTTTTGGAGGCTTTTGACAATTTCTCAAAAATTCATCTACTCAGAAACCTTGTTTTATTTCCCCTTTACATATTATATACTTTTATAGACTGCAATAATTTTAGATTTATCGCCTTAGGAACATCAAAGAAAAGGGGCTGGGAGAGGGGGAGAGAGGAATTTTTCACATTTTCGATCATAAGTAAAAAATACAAGAAATTGAAATTATTAACAAAATCTCTTGTGACATTAAAAGCAAACTATGTTTGATCTACTACAAAATCAAAAAACAATTTAAAAAGTATAACGCAGTATCAAAAAATGTACTACTTTTCAAAATATTGAAACGATTTTTATTTTAGGTAAAAATAAAAGTAAAGCCACTTGGAATTTAATATAAGATAGCAATAACAATTAGATAAAAGTAAATATCGAATTTATAACAATTGGCAATAATAACATAGATGACCCTATGAAAATAGTTATGCATTTTAATAAATACTTTATACATAAATATATTTCGGAAAGTGAACACAAAAAATCTTCTAATGTTAATTCTATAAAATTAAATTGCTCGAGTATTGGATTTTAAGGGCAACTGTTAGGTAAAAAAAATACATTTTATTTCTCAATAATATAAATTCTGTAGGTATATATGAAATTTGAATAAAAGTAATTAAATAGTGTACTGATGAATTGGCCCCTTTTCTAGTTCACTTAATTAACTTATATTTTGTAAGTTGTACATTTCCAAACTTTCTAAAAACCTCTATAGTCAAAGCTCTGTATGACTGGTATTATAAAAAATCTTTGAAAAGGTAATGCATAATAGATTAACACCATTCTTGACAAAACATAATATTATTCGATCTGAACACTTTGGATATCATAAAGGAAAATTACACTATACAAGCATATATACGGACAAAAATATTACAGGGACTCAGATATTACGTGATATGAACAGGGCACTATCAAAATAGTGTTTGTCATAAAATCCTTTTATCAAAACTCAAAAGGTACGGAATTCGTGGTAAACCTTTTAATTAGTTAAAAAATTACTTATGTGACAGATCTCAATGTATAGAAATAGGTAAACTAAACAAATTATATTAATATACAGCTTATCGCTCAAAGTTGAACTTAAATCAATTTGACGGATTCAAAGGATTGCCGCAGAGTAGGTACTAACTGGGGCCGCTGTTGTACTTATTGTATGTTAATGATCTCTAAAGCGTAATCAAATATTTATTTAAAAATAAAATCATTAAGTTAATTTGGATTTTAATTAGAATTTAATTACACTGATGAAATTGAAATTGAATTATTTAATTATTGAAATCTTTATGAACATTTAAGGATCGATGCCCTCCTCGCTTCTAATTGCTGCGCCCTACAAGATCTACAATGTACTATATCAATTACTAACATCTTTTATAATAATATTGTAGAATGCAATAAATAAATTGAATTGAATTGCTGATGACATATCGATTGTTATTGTCATGAAACACAATTATTAGAGATGTGGTTAAATGGTTAGCTTTCAATAACCTTCGTGTAAATGTATAAAAAACTAATACAAGTTTTAACAAGAAAAGTAAACTCCGTAATTTGTCTATATTGTATGCTTATTACTATATGCACTGCAACAAATCAACAAAACTCGTACTGGATTCGCAATTAACGTGGAAGCAACATATTGCCACTGTCTCTAAATAGATTAATAAATTCATATTTGCTTTACATCGTCTTATAAAAATTTGGTGATCAAAAAACAATCCACCTGTGACATATCATGGATTTGTTTCTTCCATTCTGAGATATGGACTTATATGAGGAAATTGCGTTTCAATAAATCGTCCCTCTATAATACAAAGAAAAAATGCAGTCGTATAATTTGTGGAGTTGGCCTTTTTGAATTTTGTAAGCCTCTTTGCAAGAATTTAAATATAGTGACATTGACTTCTATGTATCTATTTGAAACGTATGTGTTTGTTAAAAATAATATGTACTTATATAAAAAAAGAATAGAATGAATGGTACATTTTCTAAAAGGTATCCACGCCAATTGGCAGCGTTTTTCCATAACAATACAGCTTATCCAAGAAATTATTATAACACAAAACCTTATAATATTGAATATATAACTTTTTCGTTTGTCATTTGTTTTACAATTTGGCGGCAAATTGTGTATCGTTATCATGAACTTAACATGAGAAAATTTTCATGCGATGATTTTTTATGACTTTCGATGTCATCTAAGTCAACAAGAAAGTTATGATAGACTACGATTGACCTTTCACGATGAAGTTCCGTCTCGTGCCACTGTTTACAACTGATTTAATGAGTTTAAACGTGGTCGCACTAATCTCACCGATGATGTGCGTGATTTTTGACAATTCTACGGCGATGACTGTATATAACATCAGTGTTGTGCGGCAATATGATAGAGATTTGACAAATTATTAAACCTATATAGATTCGGGCAAGCTTAAAGATTGGTATGAGTCAAGTGCATAAAATCCTCCATGAACATTTGGCGGTCAGGAAGCTTTGTGCCCGGTGGATACCTCATAATTTGGCCAAGGCTCAAAAAGTCCGTCGTGTTGATTGGTGCCGTAAAATGCATGAAAGATTTAACGGAGGTGACTCAAATTCTATGTTTGACATAGTTACGGAAGACGAAAGCTGGATTTACTGTTATGAGCTTGAAACTATAAGACAGTCATCTCAGTGGGTGTTTCCTTCCGAGAAATTGCCAACTAAAGTGAAGAGAGGTCGAAGCGTGGAAAAAAAGATGGTGGCCTCGTTCTTTGGAAGGAGAGGTCATTACGCGACAATTGTTTTAGAGGATCGAAAATCAGTTACTGCAGAGTGGTACAGTAACAATTGTTTGCCACGTGTTTTGGAAAAAGTGCGTGAGAAACGGTCTCGCAGCAGGATCCTCCTTCACCACGACGGCTTCGTCGCACACCGTCAGGCAAACGATCGATTATTTGGCGACCTCAGACGTAGAACTACTACAGACTACAGTTTCAGAAGGCCGTCGAAGAGATCCCTAAGAGGACGAGTCTGCAAAGTGCTTTTCTCAGTGGTCCTGTCGGATGCAGCGATGTATTGACGTGAATGGACACTATTTTGAAAAGATAACATAAAGGTAAAAACTTGCTAATTTAATCAATATATTTATATATATATTCATTCTGAATTATTATTTTCCTATTTTCATTCTCTTTTTACTCTTAAATTCGAAGAGCAGTAATGTAAAAATAGGGAAATAATAAATAATTGATCTAATTAAATTATAAATTACAACCATTTTATAATTCAAAAGTATTAGTGTTTGCGCTAACCCTTGACAGGTACCAAATGAATGTTTGACAGTTTGGTACACCACTTACCCTGTTTGTAGAACTACTGTATTGTATACAAAATAGTTTTTTATACTGTGTACAGTAGTATTATACTGCGCCTGCGCGAATTGGAGCAAGACAAATGACATTTGCACATTGCAGGTCAATTATTAAAGCACACATTCACAGTTCTACCCCTGCTATATATATAACAGTATAGAACAGTGGGCGTGGCTTCCTCGCTTGCATCTGCCGACGGCTACCATTTCATTTAGGCCTACATATTTTTTAAATTGTAATAAAAATTTTTTTTGTTTGATAAACGCACAAATGTTTATCATTCGGAGTACATGGAGATGATAAATATATTCGTTAACTATTACATAGAACAGAACATAGGAGATGTTTAAAAAGAATTAACACGAGGAGTCTTAATAAAACTAACAGATACTAAAACATTATTGATCAGATTTTTTCTATCTGTATGTTTGTTCTGACATCACACAAAAACTAGTGTATAAAATTGAATGCGGGCTTCTTAGTTGTTGGTATTCCTGAAGATCTAACTTAAAAACTGGTATATGTTCTATTTTGATACGCCATCTAGAAGGGATTAATTTTGTTAGTTTTCCTGCTTTAGAGATCATGCGTAGGAAGTAGCGGGCAAAAAACTAGTTAATGAATAGAAATATCATTTAAAGGTAATTTAAAGGTAAGCACTACGAGAATTTCTAAAGATTTCAAACAAAACAAAATAGCTGTCAGTTTTCTTT